GCGTCAGTCGGACAGAATTTGACAGCGAAAAAGTGAAAGAGAGATCCTGAGAGATGGAGAGGTGGGAGAGAAAGCTGGCTGGATCAAGTAGCCTGTGGTATTAGCTGGCTGACCTGTGGGGTCAGGCCACAGTTTGGGCCTCAGGCAATCTGACCCACTGCCTTTTAACAGGATGAAGAATGAGGGTGGAACAGGAGCTCTGAGGAATGATGATGATTTCATAATGCATCGAGTAAGGTTGCTTCATAGACAGACACAAATCCCTTTAGCCTGAAAAACATTGCACGGCTGGAAACAGGTGTGTGGCTCCTATCAAGTGCCCTAAACACCCAATTTGAATAACTACATTAAAACCTATATTTTCAACAGGTTGTTGTTGAAGTCGGTAAGATACTTTTAACTGAAAACCCACAGGTTCAATTAGGAATAAACGTTATGGATACTTTTTTTAAGGCTGATGAGATATTTCTGTTTCTTAAAAGAAGTTAATTCCCTGTTTATGTACACTTTAGAGAAAGATGAGCCCAGATCTTTTGAGCAAAGGTGGATGATTTAATATTGCATAGCTCCAATCTTAACAAATCTGACTGGCATCACTATCGCTGACATGAAAAAAACAAAAATCGAATCTTGACGTTTTGAAATGTTTTTTGACAGTAAATGTAATCAAAAATGTTTTGCAATTGTATTGCTTTTCTCTATCTAATTGATCAGCCCCCATATTTATCGTGCATCCCTAGGTTGGATGCTTGCCGACAGACTTAATATGTTTTAGCAAAACACAGTGACTGGGTGATGCATTCTTCCTATAAACTATCAATTACAAATAATACGTAATGCACACAGAATCGATGCTTATTATCCCTCCAGACATCTTTAATCAGAGTCGTTAAAGCTAAAAACTTGCGTGTCGATGCATAATAACAAATTGAGGATTAAACCTGAAGTCTTTTAAAGACATGTTAAGAGCACCACAAGTGAAAAAGTTTCTGCAGATAAAACTTCTTATGAACTTGTTAGTTCACAAGACTTTTGGCCCTCAGAAGCTCGCTCACTTTGTGCTTTGAGGCGTGTCACTGAGTCAGCCCATCAGCCATGCAGTTCAGTCTAGACTGATGGACCCTCACACCCACACACACGGGTCCAAGTTGCATCACACAGAAAGGTCTGCTCAAAGTGTCCGACAGCTAATGACCCAGATCCTACACTCACCCACTAACTCGACTAGACAGATTGACAAAGTTAAAACTCTTGACACGTATTTTTCTTGGTAAAATGAATAGAAAAAGGTGCCATAACCACAAGATTAGGGCTTACTGATGCAGGAAAGCTTAGGGGCATATAAACAGGGAATATGTTACAAAAAAATAAGGTGTTGACATTTTTCGGGGTAATTTCATGCAGTCGCTGAAGAGTAAACAGTAGAGACAGAGAGGAAATGAGGGGAGAGAGACAGATGGAAAAACATGCAACAAATGTCCCCAGCCCAAGGCGATCCAGGAAGGTTGTGGTTCAGCGCCTTAAACCCCTAGAGCACCAGGGCGCCAAAATGGTTAGGTTAGTTTTACATATTTGCATATTTTCTTAAGCTCTTATTTCACTTCCTTGCAGTTTTACATCTCGCCACCATTGTACAAAACAGGAAGATTTCTATACGGCCATGACATGAGTGCTTTGGTTTGTATCTTCATCTCTAGGCTGCCTGTATTGATGCAGAACCTGAAAGGATCTTTCTGCTGCATGAACAATGGAATTGGTCAAATATTATAACATGATAATAATAATAATTTACAAGGCAAAATTGCATTAAACCAGCTTTATATGAACTATTGCATCCTAATTTAAAACTGTTTTGGTATTGGTTTGTAGTTGCAAAGCCAGGCAGGTCTTGGCATTTCCTAAAGTGTGTGGACTGGACAGATTATTTATTGTGTGTGTGTGTGTGTGTGTGGGTGTGGGTGTGGGTGTGTGTGTGTGTGTGTCTACTTGATTACACAATACGGTTTGTATCCTGTTCCTACATGATCAGGAAACACTTGTGTTTTTACTGGTAGTAATGTAGGGTAAAGTCAATGAAGGTGTGTGTGTGTTTTCTCAAGGCGATAGCTGAATCTTGGTCAACCAAACCAAACACAGATTGACCAACCATTGAAAGTTTAACGTCATTCATTTGTGGGCTTTTATAACATTCGTCTCCTATCAGTAGTAAGGGATATAGAGACAGGAAACAAAAGGAATTGTGTGCACGTGTTAAAGTTTAGTTAAACGTAGAGCACTCTTAAAGGGTTAATGTTTGATGGGTGTTACTGGGGCCTCAAACCATTCAATTAGACTCTTTATATTGAAGCCAAGAATATCTGACAGCAGGAAACAACACAATGAGGTTTCTAATGCCAGAGGGCAGAACACCTTGAACTGATGCCTGCCACTACATTCACCAAATCAGAAATATGACATACGAGTCATAAGGTCAGGAAGAGGCAAAAACTGTAATTTAAACACTTTTTAAGCACTTAATATTTCACTTAAAGTTAGATTCAACATCAAAATCAAGTGACATCTGCTGATTGAGAATATCTAATGAAAAGTCTTAAAAATACAAAGATTTGGTTTAAGGAAACATTCATAGATAACAGCCATTCTTGACTGGAATTTTCAATAAAAAAAGTAAATGAGAAAAGACTATTGTAGCCAAGTCCAATAAAGAAAGACCTGAGTTTCTTTTTTCTAGAATCAAGCGTAATTTTTGTTTAAAACTAACAGCAGAGATCTGCACCTTTATTTCAAGGCACTTACAATCCATTACATAAGAATAATTAAAACAAAGAAAATTGTGTTGGTGACAAACAATGGTAAAACATCTGTGCTGTTTTACTGAAAAAGCCCTGTTGATTCGATTGAGATTGGCCGACTTGTTAATGCTAATGTATTGTGTAGCTAAAGGAAAAAAAAAAACATTCATAAATCAAATTTTAAGACATTTTAATGATATTTAGCTCACGCAATCTTTTAATCTTTAATTTTAACCATTTGTTAGTGTAAGTGACAGAATAGTGTCATGTGCAACATTCCAGTAGGTGTGTGTTAATAATGCTTGCCAGTGTGTATGCCTTTGTGGTGACAGGAACTATTATTATGCAGGGGTGTCGGTCATACAGAAAGTTCAGGAAAGGCTGCACGCCTTGCATGCTCCTTTGTAAATACAGAGTTTGCTAAGCAAGCAAAAGTGTTTCTGAAATAGACCAAACGGGAGATGACTCAACCCTCATTGTACTGTAACACAAGCCCTTAGCAAGCAGACAGTTAAACATTAGCAGAGGGCCTAACCCCAGGATGTGTTCTTCTAAACTACCAATGGTGCAGAAATAGTTAATTCACACAGTATAATTGTACGAACACTACATTCATTACATAACTAAATAAATTGTATCAATGTAAATGAGACACATTTCTGTACATTTACTGATTCTTAAAAAAAAAAAAATCACATTTAGAAGATTAAACATCTGCTCCAACAGCATCTCCACAGAGAGTTTAAGGCTTGAATCATGCAGCAACAGGGAAAGATAAGGCAAGAAATGTTCATGTGTAGCACTCCCAACCACTGCTGTCAGGGGGTGCAAAACAGCAGTGGGCCTCAATCAACCCCCTGTGGATAAATCAAGATGTACAGATCGATAGAAACACCAGCCAATGGTGTACAGATCTGTTTGTGGACTGGTTCAGTACAGACATGACTAATACTCAACAACTCGAGGGGTAGCCATTGATGCCAAAAAAAAGAGAAAAAGCTTCTCCATCCGTCTCTGGTTAACATTAATGCCAGAGTGGAGGTCTGACTCATAGAAGTCTCATTCGACCAAACACACAACAAATGAACATGCATGCATGTGCAGTATTGTGTGCCTGGGTCTGGTCCATGACATTTGAAAACACGAGTATTTTCCAAACTATGATTAATTTTAATTAACTGTGCTTTCTAAGAAGAAAACACCCAAATTAATGTTGCCAAAACAACAACAAAAAGCCAGCAGGCCCTTTTTTGAAAAATGAGTGTCAGTCATTGAAATTGTTGGGTATCCGATTTTTTTTGAAATTCTGAGATTTTTATCCTGCAAAATCAAAAAAGTGTAATTATAATATATCTACGCTGAAAAATGATAGTCAACATGTGTATGTGTTTCATAAAGAAAGTTTGATGGACACACGGAGACAGAGAGCGAGTCTAGGCTTGTCTTCTAGGCATGCGGGCACTTGTGCTGTTTTTAATCAGCAGGGCTGTGTTAACAGAGCGGCCGGTGGCTCACCCTGACAGGCAGACAGCCGGCACACTGCTGCTACCGTTCAGACTGACACACTCCCACTCACACCCCAATTTAGGACTCAAAATATTAAGTGAGATCATACAGTATATTTCCGTGTAAAAAGGATTTCATCACCAAGACGTATCATCAGCATATAGGGATAAACATGTCTGGGGTTAGGCCTAAATATAGCAGGGAAATTAAAACGATTAACAAAGTTTAACACTGTTACACCGCTCCTTCACCTCATGAGACCAGAGCCAACCAGTGTGCACAACCCTGTTTACAAAGCAGCAGCATTAATGCTTTTTATAATAAGGTTTTACCAAGTGTCTGAGAGAACAGCAACAGTAACCTTAGAAATAAGCTTAAAGGTAAATTGTCTGTTGACATTAAAGCTATTTTAACTCGCCTGCCCTGAATCAGTTTGCTGGACAAGGCATCTCCTTTAGCACTACTGCCACCTACTGACCACTTTAGGATTTTCTATAAAGAAACCGTTTACTAAACAAACCACAAGTTGAGGTAGTCAAGCATTTCAGATGCACTGGGGTCTACTCGTGTGGGAAATTCAAATCACTGTTATGATCCCTTCAATAACCAAGAGAAATAACTTGCAGTGATAAATGGCCTCCTTACTCAAGTGCACACTTTTGTTATTTTTTTACTTATTAATAATAATGGTATGTGTCTTACTGAGATCCTCGGCCAGCTGGACTCTGCGGCCGGTGATGAGGTGGGTCTTCTTCTCCTGGTCTTCCCCAAAGTCCTCCAGAACCTCCTTCACATTTTTCTCCAATCGGCGCACTGAGAAGAAGAATGGAGGAACAGACACACACAAAGCATAACAATCAATATTTAATCAATGAGCATCAACAATGCATCAGATTTTTGGATGTATTGTTCAATTATACAATCAAAACATTTTACGATCATAACAATGGTTGTGAGCTGAATTGGTGTTTTTTCATTATTAAATGGTTACGGTGAATCGTTAATGATCTTGGGTTAATTAAATACCAAAGCTCTTGCCAGCTATAAGACCACATTTCAATCCGTTTTAACTATATGGTTTTGTCTGGCTGCTTGTGGTGATCGTCCAAAAAACTTAAAATAATTCCTCCTAAATGACTGAAAATGATATTGTTGCAACAATGTACTCCTTTAGAAAAAGGAAAATCATGAGTATGCCGTAAAAACCCCAGCAATGACCTGACAGTATTTTGGAACAGCTCAAAATAACTACTGGTAGCCAAAACCAACTACATAAAGACTACATTATTTATCCAAACCAAATAGGATTTCCCAAATAATACATATTTTCCCCTTTAAACGATGGATATCATGTTCTATTGCCAACCCTTACCCTCAGTGTTGGTGAGCTGCTGTCGGAGAGTGTTCCCTGTGATGACCAGCATTCTCTGGATCCTCCAGAACAGAACCACATCATTGCACTCCAACTGGGGAAGAAAAACATGCAGGCACAGGGCTCAGCTTCTTCACACATTGACATTAAATATATCTGAGGGTAAGTAGAAGAGAAAAAGTGAACTAAGGATAACTCAAACCCTTTCCTTACCTCAGAGTCAACAAAGTGTCTCTGGTAGTAGTAGAAGCCTCTCTTGCAGAGGTTACAGTGAGACAGCGCCTTCTGCAGGAAGTGTCGGCGATACAGCTGATGCCACGTGTCTTTGATCTGAACAGGTACGAAGATCAGTAACTCAGCAGTTGATGGATGATAAGCATAATTAAAAAAGGGGCACAAACACTGTATTCATGCTACAGCTAAAAATATATCAACTTGTGTGGCAATTAGCCAAGACAAAGTCGCATACAAACCCCAATTAACTGAGAAATAACAAGAAGCATTGGATTTATTCTGTTAACAAGTATAACATTAACATATAGAGTGCAACAGTGACGTGTCCTAAAACCCGGAAGTAAGTTAGCATTTTGCCACTTCCGGTTCCTTCGACAAAAACCAATGCAATTTTTCCATAGGATTTTGGAAAATAGCTCGACACAAGGTCTGTGGTTGACACAAATTGAAGAGACAGATCACGTTTTGTTCAGCCGGATAATATCCACATGTCTACCCTACTTTTATAATTTTCGAATCATAAATCTATCGATCATAGATTTATGATTTGCTGAACAAAACGTGATCTGTCTCTTCAATTTGTGTCAACCACAGACCTTATTTCGAGCTATTTTCCAAAATCCTATGGAGAAATTGCATTGGTTTTTGTCGAAGGAACCGGAAGGAGTTTACTTCAGGGTTTTAGGACGCGTCACTGTGGCACTCTATTCGCCCACTATCTAAAACATCTCACCAGCACAGGGTCGACTAACACAGATCGTGCCTCCAGGTTCTTCCTCACTGTGGTGACCTCGTCGTTGGCTAAGTATGCTGTGTGTTCATCGTGGAGCTTCAGCAGGCGCTCCAGCTCGTTTTTTGTTTCATTACGAACGTGCTGCAAGGTTAAACGAAAAGGAAGTGAGCGCCGTCCTTGAGATGGTGAATGGGTTTTAAGATATTGATGATTATTTCCTGTCCTGTGTGTAATTAGGGATAGCTCAACGAAAAGGATTACTTGATTTAAACTACCTGTTTTATAACTGGTATTATAAAAGTTTGACATATGCCTCACAATCTTTCTAAAGGCCTTGCGGTTCCTCTAAAAATTTAACAACCTGGAATTTGGGGAGACCCCTCGGACTCTGACCTGATCTGGAGTGCGACTCGTCCAGTTCATCCATCTCTGCGTCCAGCCTGGACCCACCATATCTCTGATAACTGAATCAGCTACAAGAAGAAATGTGAAGAAAAGAGAAAGAAAAGGAGAAAAGACATATTAAAAGAGATTGCTATGTTTGTTGTGAGTAAGCTACCTACATTAGCAGCCCCTTCTATCCACATTATTTCAAACAAAAATGAGATCGTATGTCAAGATGTCACATAAGTATGACCATGTCTCACAAGCTGTTCTCTTGTAATATGTGTGTCTGTGACTTGTTAACAGTTTACTACAATGTGCCACAGCAAGCGTAATAATTCATTCTGTAATTTACATGGATGTTGATGTTTGAACGCTAACCTTGTATTCTAATGGAGAGGAAATATTTAAATAGGGCCAGCCAGGTGCAGAAGACGCTGAACGTGGCTGCTACTTCAACAATTCTACTCACTGATGTGAAACTGTGTTATACTTAGTCAACTGATCTTCAAAACAACATAAGGCAATAGAACAGGCAGGTTTATAAGTTGTTTAAGACAATGAAGGGAGTCTAATGTTGGCTAGGTGACACTGTATGAAGCCATCATGGCCAACATACTGTCTTTGAGGCGTGAATGCAGGGTTTCCTCCATGAACATGATGGCTGCATCCCACTGGGGCTTGTCTGTGATGGAGCGGTCTTCCAGGGCATTGTGCTGGATCACCCTCTGATGCACACACATAGGAGAAAATAAAACACATGTTCAGCTTCAAAGTAATTGCTAATGCATATTAAGTGTGTTTTGTTTCATGGTGTTTTAGTCAAATGTCAAATTTCCTAATACGTTTTTTATCGTATTAAGTCAATCCCCTCCTGCTTTTTACAAGTTAAGTTTAGTTGACTACAAGTCTGGTGATTTAAGAATCACCTTAGTCAAAGACACCATCACTCTTTTGGTGGTTTAAGGAATACAAAAATTGTGGACATTTTAGTCTTGTTAATTCATCAGATTATTTTGAACATTCAATAAATGGCGTTTAGCCCAAATGTCAGCTCATTTCCATAGCCTAAATCTTGCTGTTGATTTTGTTAGAGTGACTTACCTACTTTAATTCAAGTTGAGTACTGCTAACATCATTTTTTATAATAATCCATCATATTTAGTCTCATCTTTTTTGTCCATGAAAGTAAAACGTTTTTAGTTTTTTTTAAAATACATTTCAGAATGTCTTTCCATGTGAAGAATATATATTGTTTTATAGACAAACATATGTAGTAAGATCATTCATAAATACAAATTAACACTGGTATTTTGTCCTGTACCAGAAGTTCAAATAATTGGCATTGATGGGTCTTCTTTGCTTGATCAATTTCTGCATTTTATTGATGATGAAATGTCTGCTTTAGGAGATGTGTGCTCAGAGTGTATTTACGGTGTGTTTACCAGGCTGTCCATGGCCCTCTCATTCCACTTGTGCCTCTTGATGCTCTCGTCCTTCACAGCCTCCTTCAGCTTGTCAAAAATGTCGTCTTGGTCTTTGCCTTTGTATTCAGCCATAAAGCGGGCAAACTCCTCCTGCAGGGTCTCCCAGGCAACCTAACGGGAGGCCAAGTATAGAGGGGAAAGAGGAGGCTCATATTACCACAAGGCCAGTGCCTGATTGAATATTTCTTACATTTCTGTTCTCTGTGGCTAGTAGATGGACCCAATATATATATTAAGGAACAACAAGTACAGGCAATGCTTATTCTAAGAATGTGATGATCAGTAAAAATGGCAAATGATTTAGAAATAACCTTTTGAATACCATAATGATCAGGTGTAAGCCGTTACCTCCAGTGCTTTGTATGGAAGCTGCTTGTCGGTCCACTGCTTGAGCTTGATGTCAACGGTGGTGTTAAAGGTACCCGAATCCATCGTTTGGGCTGCAGGCAGGTAGATGTTCTCAATCACATGAGTGGAGACACGTTCCCACATCTTCTTCTGCAAGATGGCCTCCCTGGAAGAGAACATGTCAAATAAGGGCACATTTCAACTTGGAGAAGGAAGATATCTCTTCATTGGTACCTCTAGCTTTTGTTGACTCCCATACCGTAGAATCATGATTATTTTCAGATCTATATTTGAGACATATCTAGCAAGCAAGTGTGTTTGTAACAAAGTTGGTTCCAGTAGAGTGACCCGGTCGGGTAAGAACAATGAGTGAAGGATTGTTCTTATGAGCTGCTTTCACTTGTGAAGTCAGTGCTGCTGTAATTACACTTGACTGTAGATTCCACTACAGCTCCAGTGTGACCCTGTTAGCAGCTAACAGCCTCCACACTCTCGCTCTTTCTCTCCAGGGGAGCGTGACAATGGAACAAAACCCTAACCAAAGTCCTCCTGAGAGCAGACCATGGCTGTGCCTCTCTCATTTATCATAAACGACACTCATATTTCATTAGGCGCCCCTTTTGTTCCGGCTAGCACTCCTCACTGTCAATAAGCGTTATCTCCAATAGTGTTGGCTGGCTGCTGGCTGGTTAACAGGGCCACCCCTGTTCCCTTCCATAGGCCATTCATCAGAGTATTGATCTGGGAAACTGATGGCACACACACTGGGGATGGTCCCAACACCATGCATACATCTCATTTAGCAAGGTTTTCCTCATCGGGGTGAGGTATAACTATATATTCATGCAAAGATAAATGACCCAAGAGATAAAGACCCGCAGTTTGCTCTAAAAATAGCTCTGTACTCGTGTCTGGTTGAGTCCTGGGGCAGTGCAAATGCATGATCTTATAGACTTTCAGCAAAGGCCAGGTTTAACACCATTCAGTCCTAAATAGGGTGCACCTAATTAAGATAAATATCCTATATAGAGTAGATAAAACATTAATAGTGACAGTGCTAAAATGATTATATACAAATAGAACGTTTGTTTTAATAAATAGTTGTACCTGTATTTGAAAAGAAAAACGTATTTTTTTAAGATAATGAGCACACAAAATGAACATTAGATATTAGCTTATCATTTACTTACCAGTGTTGTGGGGTCACTTGACTCAAACTAATTACTTCATCCAAAATTTCATTTTTGGCCTTTTCGAATAGTTCATTCTGCAAAAGAACAGAAAGGAATTGTTACGGTCAAATCTTGAAAAGCTTGAACAGCGTGCAACAGTTTTAATATATTGTTTTGTTTTATATCTTTAGATTTTTCAGAACAGGGCCACAATATCAATAATTTGGCTTTTGTTGAGCCTCTAGTTAGGAGCATTATAAATGTGAGGTGTAGTTGCTGTGTGTCTCTCACCCTGTCCAGCTCTCTCAGGCGAGGGTAGTTGTTCTTCCACTCTGTCTCCAGGTTGAAGCGAGATGCTGGGATTGGAAGAGACAGTGAATTTGATGAAACAAACCTTTCTCAGAATGGACAAACTTTTCATATTTACAAAATGTAAATGATAATTGAACATAAATAGTGGTATCATAAAGCTAACCTGGCCACTCAAAAATCTACCTTAAAATATCTGATTTGTTATTTAAATGTCTGGAAGATCATTTCTATCCTGCACATTTCTATTGTTCACATCTGATGTTCAGCTTCATCAAAAATGAATTCTCTATATTTAAGAGGCAATGTCCATACAGGGACAGGGCCTGTTTTCTTTGATCCAAGTATGATATAAAGGCAGCTTTCAGACTGCAAATGGTGCCTATCCTTTAAAAGAAGTGGGTGAGGACTTTGCACACTCGCTGTCTTAACTGGTCCCTCGTGAGGAGAGGGGATGGGTTTAATCACACACTCTTTATCAACAAACAGTCAGAGTGTAAGTTCACTTTTTATGCATGCACACAGACAAACATACACCAGGACCACTGTCCCTCTCCACAGCTCCCTATGCACAATGGGGATTAGGCTAATTGCCGGTTTGAGGAGCCACAGTGGCGCCAAGCATAGAGGACGGAGGCCGGCTGTTTGTGATTTGATGAGATATGGATCGATACGCCACACAATGGGCCTATGGGAACTGTAGTCTCACCGCCATAAATCTCCTGTGCTGTTAGCAATGGGTTTGAGATTGTCTAGACTAATTGCAGTTGAAAGTCAGGACTGAAAGAGTGGGAAAGTGTGGCAGGGCGGGCAGAGTAAGGTACAAGGCGCTGGGAGAAGAGAAGAGGAGAAGAAGCACCTGTTCCCTGTACAGTTAATGGGGATCAAATGTCCATTCACACTGTTTAAACATGCCAGGGACTGTAAAATACATTGAATATTAACATTCACTCAGTAACACAAATAATAAGGAATACAGTATAAATCAGTCAACCCTTCCTGTGAGAGGGCTAGTCCTGTAAGTGAAGTCCTACCTTTGAAGACGTCCGCCTGCTGCTCCACAGACTCTCTGACCATCTTCCAGAAGCAGTCAGAGACGGCCAGACTCAAGTTCTTCGTGGTCACCTGGTGGGCCTTCAGCATGCCGTCCCTAGTTGCATAAATATATTAATTGTCTGTTTTAAATGAATTCCTTCGATGAAGCATTAATATTTGGTGGATCACATGGGACTTACTTTAGTAATCTGGAGTTCTGGAAGAAATCTTCCTCATAATCTTTAATGGAGTCGATGCTTTCACTACTGCTCCCTGCACACAGGAAGACAGCACAACAAGGTGTGAATAAATCACAATTCAGTTAATGTGTGTTCTCATTCAGAATATGTAAATATATGTCATTATGGTACAAGTGCTACATAATTCAGGTTAAAGTGGGTACAAACGTTCTTACAAAACAGTTTAACGATATGCTGTGAAACAAATTAACCTGCAACTTGCTCCATGATAATCATAGTCGGTGTACAATTGAAACCAAGTTCAGACGTAACCATGACCTGAAAATCCTCATTAAATATTGGGATATTAAATGTAGCATGATGGATAACTCAGTAGAACATGTTACCTTTTCCTGTCACCACTGCAAAGTAGCCCAGGGCCTTCATTGGAAACAGCTTCCCTTCCACTATTTGCTGGATCTGAAATAAAAATGTAAACAGAGGAATTTAATTCTTACACCAGTCTACTCTGCACAAGTTTCCCTAACATCAGCTCATTGAGGGGCCAACGAGTTCAAATAAAGGTGCTGAGCTCCCTTTTGTGGAGCAGCTGCATATCGCAGGCACTTTATTCATCAGTTTGCAACTGTTTTGAAATCTACAAATGCAACTCCTTTACTCACTATTTCTGCAATACTAATGCTATTCAACTATGGATGACAAATTATGATTGATTTTTATGACTTCTATGAATTGACTGAACTGTGGCATTGTTGATCCTTTTTATGATAGAAGACAAAGCAAGTAAACATTACAAGTAACATTTATAAGAGCCAAGGTATAGGGTGCAAATATAATCCTTTACATTTATAAGAAACATTGTTGCTGCTTTGTATTTTCTGGATAGTTAAGCCTCTTACTCTGTTGGGGCTGGCCAGGTTCTTCTCAGCCAAGTCCACCTTGGTCAGAACAAAGATGGTCCTCTTCCCCTGGGGGTCCATCTGGCTGACCAAGTCCGTTACGATGCTCCTCTCTGCATCCACACTGCCATCTGGAGGGAGACAAGGGGAGCACAGGAGGTATGATAGTGATCTACACGCCAAAGGCGCGTGTCTGTGTTAAATCAGTGCGGGATTTCATTTAATATACAATACTCTTATTTGCCAAACATGACTTAAGCCTCTTTGGCTCCAAGCCCTGATTGTTGTTACTGAATTATACTCATGGCTCACCCTGTATACAGAGGATGATCGCATTGGGGTTCTGCATGTAGGCCCTGCTGATGCTGAAGATAGTGTCCTTAGTATCTGCCGCCATGCCTGCAGTTACAGTCTGAGAGAGACACATATTTGAAATATGATTAAAAAACCTTTCAAACATTGAATTTGTATTACCATGTTTATAAAGACAAGTTTGGTCAAATAGCTTTAATATTACAAAGCTTAAACATTACAAGGTCATTAAGTATCTGAAATGGATATCCTGCATACATAATATAAAACTTTTAGGAAAGAATTGTAAAAATTCTGAAAGTATACAGTAAACAGCGAAGGAAATGTGTAAACATTCCCATCCTTATTAATGTAATAATGTATACTCACGCTGATGACTCCTGGTAGGTCAACAAGCACCATCCTCTGGATGCCCGGGCCTTTGACACTCAAGGATATTGTCTGTCAAGCAAAAAATAAACATCAATTTCCATGAGACATAAGAGACTCAAATAGGCAAGTAAGAGCTTTGTTTTCTAAATGGAGGCATTAAATCTCACCTCACAGCTGACGGTCTGTCCCGCCTTCACACTCTTCCTCATCCTCAGCTCAATCTCGTGCCTCAGAGCAGCCAGCTGCAAGGCAGAGCAGGACACACCAGATGTAACAATGTATAACTAGTAAGAAGGAGCTGAAACAATCATAAAAGTTGGATGGAATTCATGACTTACGTCGTCCTCCTTGGTAAGGTCAAACTCTCGGCCACTGTCCTTAAACATGGCCACGTGATGGGGGCCTTCGCTGAGTGTTACCTGTAGAAAAAAGTAACTCCATCAGAACTGTACTTTTTCATCTTAAAAAAATACCTCGATTCTGGCTCACAATGGTTGTCAACTCTTATAACTCTTATTCATTTAAGAGTAAAGACTACACAAACATCAGCCAGGTTTGTCCTACACACCTTGACGGGAGAGCGTGTCATCATCTCTCCAGAGCCCCGGGGGAAGATCCTGGCCTGAGCGATCATCTCCAGCACGCTCGTCTTTCCAGCACTCTGATCCCCGACCACCACCACCTGAAACACAAGAGGAGGAAATGGATGATATATTACACATAGTAGGCAGACAAAGGACAGAAGAGGGTATAAAGGACAGACAACATATACCTTTATGTCTTTGATTAAAAAAAGCTAATCTCCTATGAGCAGTAGAAGTACATGTGACTGCTCCTTACCCTGGGTAGATGGTCCTGAGTGTTGTAGTTGGCATCGTAGTCTGACAAGATGTCCAGGACTTCAGAATACAAGTCAATAAGAGATTTCTAAACGAGGGGACACAATGGCAACACATATTATGGATTTGTAAATGTACAGTGTAATTACTTTATCCAGAGTGACAGTGACGTCAAGAAATATCTAAACTAATATAAGAGACAGCAAACAGCAGTGAAACAGACCCAAATAATCTAAAACATTTTAATACAAGTTTAATAACGTAATCCCAATCAGGAAACATTCCAAGCCTAATAGGGACACTTTAATGTTCACATGTGCAACCCACCTTCACTTTCCTTTGGTGGATCCCCTTATCATCTTTTTGCAGCACCACTTTCCTTAACTCTTTATTCTCCTTCTCCAGTCTCTCCAGCATGCGTTGATATTTAAGCTACGGGATAAACCACAATCAGGTACAACGTAGAAGTTTGGGCAATTTCATGATTCCCACAATTACAAACATTCTTCTGTTCCAATAGAGTTAATCAAAGTAACACAGAATCTACTGTACCTGGGTACGGAGCAGTTCTTCTTGAAGTTGGTCGAACTTTTCTTTGTCTGATGGCTAGAGGTTAAAGTAGAAAAGATAGAAAAAAGAACAGCAACAAATTGAGTTAATGTTTTCTTTTAGGTTTTGAACAATAAGGGCTCCCCGTGCTCTCACTGTGCAAGCATGAAATCCCACCAGCACCACGAAGGTTCATTATGTGCACACTGTATTACAGAAAGAACCAGAGTTAATCACATTATTGCATAAAGAGAGGAACAAAAAACAGATTTCAGGCAAACACTAATCATTCTGGTATTCCTTTGGTGCGATCAACAAGCTATTATTATCAAACGGGCACAAATCATCAGAGAGCCCTGAAACACAGCCGATTTAAATATCAAAATCATTTTGTCATTACATATTGATTTCTCTGGATTAGGCAAACCTCATTTGATTGTGTATTTTGTTATACTTCAAGCAAATTGTTAGAATGAGAGACAGGACAGAAAGCAGGAGACACAGCAAACATGAACAAATGGGATTGGCAGCAGAGGAAAGGGAATTTTAAAAGACTACAAAACTACTGTTAACTATTTTGTACATTAAGAATGTGCGGTCATTTTCTTTTTAGCAATATTTGCCAGCAAGATTAAATTGTTTTTTGAAACTCCATAAATAAGACACTTATTTAGACATTAAAACAAACTGCTCATAAGCTCGAGGCATCTACCTTGTTAGTCAAATCTCAAATTATATCACACAGCTGGGTGCATTCATGGTATCTTCAATAAAAGCAGCGCACACCATGCAGCTGGTCTCCACTCCACTCCATGCAGTGTGTCCGTACATTAATGGAGTGCTGCTGATGATTATCCGTCCATGTGCATGAGAGTGAGACTGAGCTACGTCACTGGGCTGCTGGGACCAAGCTATGGAGGAGCATGCATGCCTTCTCCACAACCGACGCTTAGCCTGACACTATGGGGTGATACATGGAGGCTACTGTTGGATGTTGTAGGGGACACACTATATAGTATTGAAAGGCCAATTTGCCTGCACTACAAATATTATAATATGAGCTATACAAAGTAAAAATATATTTAACATTAACGCCATTGCTTTAATAACAGGGCTAGACACGATCACCTGTGTATAATGCAATCCGATGCACTAACAATGCAATAAATACATCGAGTCAGGGAGTTGTGATTTATGGTGGTGGATTCTATCCAAAGATGTTACCGTCGATGTGGTCTACATAACAGACAATGTATTTATTGCATCGCCAAAGCACTGGAATGCATTCATTTTAATGAATTATTTGGCAGCTGTTCATGTTGTTGTGTCTACCATGCCCTGTGTTAGAGAGTAACAAAGCACTGCTGCTAAAATTTGGATTTTCAATTATTGTATGAAAGAGGTTTATTCAATTAATATAATTGCCAGAGCAACTTAACATCAGCTTAAACTCTTGTGTTTACCAACCTCCAGTGGCTTAACTTCTCACCTTGCTGAACTATTGTTGGTTGTTATAACAGGTGCAACAGCCTTTAACACATCAATGCCATAAGATTATATTTTGTAGGATAAAAATGCTTTGTTCCGATTTGTTTAATGTTTGGAAATATGGTATGGATATACTTTCGGCCAATTTACAGTACAACTTTGAAATGTTTAGATGGCATGAAATATCACGAAAGCACAGTTGTTTAAAGGCTATATGATTTAAAAAGAAACCTTTTCAGCCAACAAATGTGTTCAGATTGTGTTAAGGCAAGCTCAGAGAACGCTTTCACCAATGACAATTTAAAATTCCAGTTGCGGGCACAAATCGGTTAAACCATTACCACAGAGGATGTTAAACACTTATTTTCAGCTTGATGTTACGGCTGGTTAATTGAAATGATCCTAGAATATATATATATATACAGTATATATTTTGAATACTGTTTCTTCTCTGCAGCTGTGGCCTTTAGGAGACTTTGGTGGGAGAGGGCGGATCTAAGTGGAGTGGGACCTTCACCTTGCGTTTCTGTTGAGGGGGGCTGGGTTTCGGAGGCGGACTGGGAGCAGGCTCTGGCGGTGGGGGACACGCAATATTGGCTGCTGCGGCCCGCTGGACCTCCTCCTCGTGCTGCTGGATCTGCTGCTGAATTAGAATGAGCTCGCCCAGCAGACCCTGCTGGGGTACGTCATAATGAGAGACATGTAGGAGCAGCAACAAACACAACAACCAGCCGCTGGGCTCAGCCATACGAGCTAATGCTGCATCCAATCAATGGGCTACAACAAAGGAAACCTGGCCCATTATGGCTGTTCAAGCTGGAGAATGGTGGCTCAGTCGAGGCTCAAGTTTAACAGAATCAAGGCTTTTTTTAATCTTGCAATCATCATTAGTGCCACCCAACAAAGTCCGTCTCTCTCGAACACTAAGGGGAGATGCCAAACTTTGCCGGACTGAAGGTGGAGGAGGTGACTGATACTACAACCCACACCTCCCAGCATGAGGCAACAACAGTGACTCTTCCTTCGCCATCAAGCACCAATGTGGACTGATGAATGTTTACCAGACAACGCTACGTTTATACTTAAACTCAGGATTATAGAATAGGATAAGAGATTGGAAACTTGTGTGCTACAACACAGTGATGTTAGGTGGTTCTGAACATCATCGTCCTGATGATGCTGAACATGATGATTAAAATAAGCAAAGCTAGCGCTGAAACATAGCTCTATGAGGGCAAAGCGTACAGTACAGCAGGTGAAATCTACTTTAGTCCCCAACATGACATCATCATTTTACTTGTGGTGGCTTGTGCTTCCTTCTGCTCTGTGAAATGCAGATACAATATTTTATCAATGTAATTTGAATAGAAACATCAACTTGTTGTGTTTAGTTTGTGCTCATGTTGGAGACCATGATTAGAGATGAGAAGCAGGAAGGAGGAGAGGAAAGACTTCATCATATTTGTTGTCAAGCCATCTTGCTTTCATCGTTAAAACTCTAAGTATGCATTGACAAAATAACACATGAAAACACAATAGGAAAACAGAGGGACACTGAAACGGGTCACTTACTGGAAAAGAACAAAACACAAGATGAGCAAGACGCAGAGAGGATAACAGTGATGAAAACAGATGAGTTCTGTCAATGTGCTGCAAAACATAAAGCTAGAAAATGAATGGCCTCCATGAAAGTCATTTCTGAAACAGTTACGATGCATGACAAATAATAGAGGCCCTTTTGCAGCAATGACAAATATTAGTGTGCCTAAACTATATGACCATACCATTTGTACATTACCTTAATGACACTAAAGCCTGCCAGCATGTGAACCTCAAAATCAACTGAACTGATTGAATCAAAACACACTCAAAAGGAAAAATATTTCCCTGCATCACACAATATATATGCCATTTTGATTAAAACCTCTTTGTGATTGAATAGGGTTATATAAATATACTTAGGGCTGTGTTTAAGGGCAACTTAAAATGGTGTATACAGTATGATGCTTTGAGTAGATTTTGATTAAATCGACCAGCGTTCTTGCCACTGAAGTGGAGAGTTGCCAGGTCCAGAGGAAGCCGAGTGAAACGGAGCAGTGGCAGAGTACAGAGGGCAAAGATAAGTGTCCACAGGTTTAAGAAACTTGCCTTTTTATATTGCTTGTCGTTGGCATCTTGCTTGGCTTCAGCAGAAGAATCTGTGGCCTTTAGTGGAGGATCGCCTGTCGTTTCTACCAGTGATACACAACAACACAGAAAGAGGTTACTTGTGAAAATGAAGATGGAGAGATGGCAGAAAGCTATTATATAAAGCATGCATTAATATAGAGAAATAAAGACCGGAGTGATTCAATTTCAAATGCTTGGAAAATGTTGCACTGAACATATATCTAACAATATAATATAATATAATATACAATATATAATGTAAATAAATAACTGTAAAAGCACAAAGACCAACAGTGGATACAAAAGATAATATTTTGTTGTTATTTAAGTATTTTAATTATTTTGTAGTGACTATACTTTGACATTTATTTATTTATTTTTCTGCAGCAGTAATGTTTAAATAGTGCAAACTACTTAAGATTATTTGAAGAAATCATGGCTAGTTATGTAATGAGTAAGAAGAAAGGGTGTCTACAGAAGATAAGCAGATACAAATAAGCAATATAAGTTTAAAAATAGTTATAGCTGGTTACATTTAGGTTTACGGTTAGACATTTTGTATTTCGTATACCCACTTTGAATAAAACTAAAATTCTCATGATGTGAAATGGCATGCTGTTATTGCCATGCAAAATGCAAACTCAGCTTAGCAAAATAAATGAAGCAGGTGTTTACAGAGCCTGTGACCTGCATGGTAACAATTAACATTAAGTACACTTAATATATAATATGAAAACTTAAATCAGTCATAAGAAAGGTATTTCCCTTAGGCTATGAAAAGGGTGTGAGGTCGAGAGGTTGAAGACAAAAGAGCCAGGAACACTCCTTTGCTGATTGTATGACTCACAGCAAAGGTGTGGTCCCGTCTGGCAAAGTGTCCCCAACTGTAGAGGACCATAACACATTTTAGGGTTTTATTATTATGATTATTTGTATGTTTTATTTAAGACAATATGCATGTTCCAATATCTTGATATGTTAAAACATCAACTGATGTTCTATGTAACATTTATTCTGTGTGCATTTTCCAAACATTTGAGTAGAAATGACTGAAAGCAGAGTGAGCTCATCCCAAAGAACAGTTAATGCGAGCGTTATTAAAAAGAGAGCAGCCCATACAGGCCAGGGGAGAGAGGGTGGAAGTCAAAGGAGGCAAAAACCACAAAAGTAGGACAAAGTACAGCAAGGACAGTCAGGTTAAAGAGTCAGAAGGGAAGAGGGGGACAAACTAAATGCAAACACACTGGATCTGCATTTAAGTGCTTTTCAGACCAGGAAGAAACATTTACTATTATGGCATGTCATTGCCACTATTTAACACGCTAATATAACTGCACTTGTGCATATGTATGACGTTTGGAATATTAACTACGAATTTTGAAAGAGTTCAGAAAGGAGAGACACATAAAGAGTTCTGATTCAGTAAACAAATGTTGAGTCACAGGGTTAAGTTGGGAATACTTTTTCGCCATCCTGGTGACAGGTCATACATTTCACTGAATACAGAACTTGTGTTAACCATGAACACTGTCATTGTTGACAGCAGCACTGCTCTGCAACCTGGAAGCCAACGTCCTGGAGGAAGCTCTGCTACCGCCTTTACAGCCGAACCATGGCAAGCAGGAAGTCACAACCAAGCCAATTTTGTGGCAAGGTGGTGATCAAACAGCGACAGAGAGAAAAGAGGGGCAATGCTACAGAGTGCTGGGTTTACACACCTAACAACAGACGCAGACCAGAAGCTCCTTTGACTTCACTACCCAAACTCACACCTGTGAAGAATGTGGAGGAGGACAGGAGGGATGGGGAGGAGGAGAAAGGAAGAACAACACAAGATAAAAAATCATAAAAGACAGAAGCAGAGGGATGGTGGTCAAAGCAGGGGCACAGCTAAATGATGTGTATTAAAATCAAGCTGCAGAGTGCAGTAGCCACAGAAAATGAGTAAGCACAAACCAAACTGGTCCTCAAATGAGAGGTTACCTTTACTCGCTAGTGGTCTATAGGCAGAATAAAATATATTTGTCTATGTTTCATTATAACATAAAACATTACCACTTCTTTTACCATACTTTATGGAATAAATCCTTTTTGACTGAATCAAAAATAAACCTTGACTTAAGACTGGCATTCAATTATAATAACTAATAGCTTTGGATATATTATGTCATTGTTTACAAATCTTAACAAAAAACAAAAGCCAAATTGCTAAAAGAATCTCAAGGGTTGTTTCAACTGACATGGTCATGAGTAGATACTTTTATTTTTAAACCATTCTTCTATTCAGTTCAGCTATGGGTGTCATTGTGCAAAGAGCACATTCAAAACCAGCAGTGCAATACAAAGCAAACTACACAGCACTGCCCAGCCATGTGCACCACATCCCATAACAATAAATGACTATATGCATGTCATATTTTGTATGATTGTCTTTGAAACCACTCTTCGTTCTTTGGTGTAAACGAGGCTTTTTGTAGAATATTTTAGCAACCACAACCATAGGCAGATAGACTATTGCAGAACAAGCAGCACTTAAGAGGATAAAGCAGGTTAAGTCATTTTTATAACTCTTTTATCTCATTCCGCTAAGGCCACTTTGTGGTAGGTGAATTACAGATACCACACTATAAGCAAAGCATATGGCATCCAAATGTACTGTTAGATATATTAAATAAAGGTAGAGACCAATGCAGATGTCAGAGAGAATTTAGCTTGGATACAATTATAGTTTTTTTTATTTGAAACCTCTCTGACATACTTTGATGTCGTCAAATAAGAATCTTATAGTTTTGTATACTCACCCGAGGACAAGAGGCTTTTGAGGAAAGAGAAGTTCTCGCCTATCTTGTCGAAGTCAGGTAGAAGTTTGACTATTTCTTCAATCTCTGGTAGAGCTTTGGTCAGTTTATCTGTGGATACAAGAGACAATATGGCAAGTGAAAAAACACTAAAAGTTTGTCAGTCTTATCTCACGATGCATTGTTGTGCAATTTTTTTTTATGTATAATGTATCAAAAATGGTCTCTGTTTTTGTAACTAAACTCAGGGATTCTTTACAATGAAAAAAACATATGAAATACAACACATGTTTTTGAATAGTGAGATAAAACTTGAAACACTTACCAAGATCAATTTGGTTACTTAGTTCCCTGACGAAATCGGGAATGACCCAGTTGTATTCACTAAAATCCGGCAGCATATCCTTCCACTCCTCATAAGTCTGGAGATAAAATGACAGACTTTTGTTATTTTCATTGATGAATTGTTTGTTTTGATGGTTTCAGACTGCAATTACAGCTAGTGAAGGCTGTCTGCTTTTCAACTCTCTTACTAAATAAAAATGTATTAGAAACACTGAATATTTACCTTTTTAGCAGTATAACCTCCTCCCACTGCCGACCCGAGCAGAATGTATCGGAGCTTCAGCAGTCGGGCAGCGAGACGAATCGCCCAGAAGTTGCGCTGCTGCTGGTGGCCCCGGCCCCCAGACCCTGGGGGAGGCTTGGGGGGCCGCATGGGCAACCGTGACATGGAGGTAAAGTAGCGCGCTGCTGCGCGATGAGGGGGCCGCTGGGGGTTGCTGTTTCCAGAGTAACGGTGGTGGATGGCACGGGACAGAGGGTGCAGCTTCTGCAGCGGCACCCGAAATCTCACCCCCATGTTGGTGGAGACCAGGTTCCTGCAGGCCATGCTGAGATGACAAAAATATTAACACAAAAATGACCAAACCTCCCCTTCGTCATTGCATAAACATCATAACCCCTGAAAATATATTCACAGACGAAAAAGTAATCCCAAGGCAGTTACTCGTCAAAGAGCAAACATTAAATCAAATTCTACTCTCAAGAGAATATTTCACAGGACAGAATTGTGATATTTTGGAACAAGACAATCTAAAGCTTGTATCATTAGTACATGTGTTTGTTGATGAAACAAAAACAGAAGAAGTAGCAGTTGTAGGATTAGCAAAATATAGCACTATACACTAAAAGTTCTTAATATCTAGCCTGTAAGCCATCATCAGTCCTAAAGTAGTGAATTGAACCAGCCCATGGAATACTGTAACAAAGAGAAGCAACTGATAAGTGCCATACAGTACATAGTTAAGTGAATGTTGATAACAGGGAGCTTATCTTTGTTCCCAGGGTCCTATGTTCCCCTGCTCAATATACCTCAAATAAGACATATTAAGGACACATTTAAAAGGGTTTTATATTCACAGCAATGTTTTCCATTCCATGTTCAATGTATGTTTCCTTCTGTCAATATCTTAACATCATCCACCTACAGATGTTAACTCCTTAAATTCTAAAATAGGACCATTCCTGAATTAATCTTTAAAATTGTAAATTATTTTTTAATCGACAATCCATTATTGGTTATTTGAACTGCAATCCACCCCTTACAATGTTATTTATAACATAGGTAAGTGAGAACACAGGGATGACCCCAAGTTACAACGTGTAATGTCACCAATAGACATTCAAATACACTGCAAAATCCATCAAGTTCAAGGTATATTACCATTATAATGTTAGCTAAACAACCCGTTATAAACTCATGTCAGCTTACAGTAAGTGATATTAGTCTGTAAGTCCACATTTGGGTAGACTCAATAGGATAAACCACAGTACCCTAACACCGGGTTAGCTAGCTTGGTTAACTGGCAAACATTAAGCAGCGGCACATGTAGCTTATCAGTAATAGTGCTGATAGATTATGGAGAAGTTAATCAGCATCTAGTTAGCGAGACGACATCTATTAACACGAAGCAGGTAGCTAGCTTCACTGTCCTCCTCAGCTGTCAGAATGACCAGCTAGCAGCTGTGTGTGCTTTCCTTCTACACAGCTAACACACTTAGCTTTAGCTGCCGTTTCCTTTATTAAATGTGAACTTACCAGGCAGCTTTATCCCCGACACGTAGCATGGTGCTGTTAGCAACAGCGGGTAAACACAAATCTGTTTCAAACTCACTCTTTATGTACAACTTAATTCATCTTTCCAAATGGTACACATTTGCTTGCCTGTTATGGAAGGCAGTTAGCTCTTAAGCTAACAAGGACACAGCAAGACTGACAGTCCACTTCCTGTACACGGTGCTACATTCAAATCAGCACTGACAGAAAATGCATCAATTAAAGAGTTCCTATGTTTAGGAGGGTTCGCAGTGCTTGCTAAAATGTAGCCAACATTAAGGTAATCATGGCTTACTGTCAGCCGATGCTTTTAGTTTGTAACATCAGAATGGAAGGACATATGGGGGTCACAAATACAAAATGTTGAGGGCTACCTGTTAGTCGGGACATTTGCAACTGAAATACAGATAACATTCAGATAAAATGTCATTTGAATAAACAGGTGCAGCTGTTGTGGACAATTAAGATTAAATATGTTAACTTAAATACATTTGCCTATTTCAATTATTAAAATATGTAAAGAAATGTCTGCAACCTGGTTTATAGGCAACATGTTGCATGTCTCACAAATGTAATGTGTGTCAGTGTCAAACTTTCCCTTTTACAGGACATCCAATGTAAGCATATATTCTCCAGCCTTCTGATATATTAAAGGTGGGGTAGGTAAGTTTGAGAAACCGGCTCGAGATCGCTAGAATTTGAAAATACATAACCGGAGAAAATCTGCCACTTCCTTACAGAGCCCCTCCTCCAACACACACGAACGCGCACATGACCAATGAGGGCACGAGATAAGTTTGTGCACAGATGGAAGGCTGACAGGCAGGTAGGCCATCCAGTTATTTTAGCCGGGCCGGCTAAAATGATTGGTCGTACTTTTTACAGTATTACGGCTTCCACAGATGACATTTTTTTCATGGATTATTTGTCAAAGCACTTAAGATATTCATTGCTATCGGGATGTTAAGAGCATTCCATGGAATATAACAAAAAGTGATACTCCAGCCTGTATCTCGAGCCGGTTTCTCAAACTTACCTACCCCACCTTCAAGGATTTAATGTATCAGAAAGCTGGGAAACCAAGTTTAATTTGGTGGAGACCAAATTAAAAGAGGTGACTCGGGAGAACGACGACCTGGCCAAGAAACACCAGAGCAGAGAGAGTGAATTGAAAAAGGTTCAGTCTAAATAAAAAATGGTCGAGGATGAGGAAAAGGACTCGGCCAAGAAGAACCAGAGCATGGAAAGGGAAGTCAAACTGTTGGAGACGAAAGTCAAACAGTTTGAGGAGGAGATGAAGGAGCAGAAGGAGATGTTCTCCAAAGACCTGGCCCAGAAACACCAGAGTTGGGAGACCAAGGTTCTTTTGACAGAGACACAACTGAAAAAGGTACAGGAGCAGAGGGACGACCTGGCTCAGAGACGTCTGAGCTGAGCAACGACTGAGAAAAAGATGGAGGAAAATAAACTTCTGGGAGACCTCTGTCTTTACATGAAGAACAAGAGGAGAGGTTTCTTCTCTCGCAGGAGGGACACTGAGGATAGAGACGTCATCTTGCAGAAAATGCTAAGCAAGATGCAAGAGAAGGAGATGAGGAAGAAATCAAGGAGGGAGGAAGCTGAGGCGAGAAACAACTCCTCAGAGGAGACGATGGAGAAAAGGGAGGCTACTGGTGATTCAGCTCCGGCTGGACAACAGTAACTCCATCCCTCCAGCCTCTACTTCCCTCCTCCATGTCCCCCTCCTCCTACCTCACCCCCCTGCTTCACTTTTTGCTCAGATGGGTTTTCTCCTGTTTTATCAGGTTTTCCAGCAATCCATATTACAAAGGATTAAAAAAACATCCACACTAAGTCCCTCCTCTATGTACCTCACCTCCTTCCTCCCCCCTCTCCCTCCCTCACCTCACTCCAACCTCCACCCCACAATACAATTAGGATTAGAAAGACTTGATTTAAAAATAAAATACAAATTCAAATCTATCTGTTTATGTGTGCCTCACTGTGTAAACATATACAGTATGAATTATTTACTGTATCACATTTTGGTTACTAAAGTACTTATATTTATTCATTGTATATTTCATAAATAAAACAACCCATGGTATGAAATAGAAAATGGTGTATTTATACACAATGTATGCTGGTGTTGCAGCAATATCAGATCAGCTGTTCAGGGCCGAAGCATTAACCATCATGTGACATTTAGGGCCGTTTGCAGCACGTCAGCTGGCGTTATGATATTGTGATCCATGGCATTATGACAAGTTGCATTCCACCACTTAAATAAATACATACTTTGCTGTAGCTTCTGCAGTATAATGGTATATCCCATTCATGCACACTTGACACAAATTACTCGTAGACAGGCTAAAGACCGTTTTGAGAACATTTATTGAAAAGAAAGAAGTCAAGATCAATCTGAAATACAATCTTCAGGGAGAAAGAAATTAAAATAAATAAAAAATAAATTATTAAGTACAAAATTCTCCAAAAATGTACATATCTCTGCCAATAAAAAAAAATACATATACCCCAGATTAGCCTCTTGTTGAGGTGCGGGAAATGGAAATTGAAAGCACATTAGATAAACTGTGCGGAACGAGCGGACATACAGATGGACCTAAAAGTTTCACCAACAGTATGTTTTCATTCAGTTTGGGTTTCAACTTTGATTTGCTTTATAATTACAAATAGACACATTTCCCTGAGGGAACATCCACATGAGTCTGTATACAGTATACTCAGTGGCTGACTCAATCTAAATGCCATTGATGGTTTGTTTCAAATACTGTACATGATGCGAGTAGGCGGCCAACTGTCAACATTCGGTATATGTTGTACCTTTAGAAGAGCGTAGAGGTTTCAGCATAAAAGCCATTGCTGTGTCAGAATAAAAGGCGTAGCGTAGAACACAAGCAATACTAGTATTTACACTTTGCACCTCATGAAATTGTTTAATTGTCTGTACGAAGGTGCACAGTTATGACTCAGCTCAATCATTTAGGCCCTAGCAGCAATATAGTAACTTTTACAATAGACAGCTGATGTAGAGCAGCAATGCACATTCTTTTTGCCAATTACAATTTAATGTTACATGGATGCAAATGATCTTTAAAAAAATACTAGACAAGAAAAAGAAAATACGTTCATTGGATGATCAAACAGAAAACTAACAAGATTGTCAGATGTTCTGAATTTGCTGACGAGCACGAAATTACAACAGTTTAATTCCCTTCTTCTGTCAGGTCCTTAAATGTATACAAAGCAATTAGAGAAAACAGAAGCAAAAGAAAAACTGATAAGTAAATGTACTTTAAAGAATCTGCAGAGATAAATGTTTCTACGAAGGACTCTTTCTTTAAACTCTAAAGTAGACATGTGCTGCTTTCTATTTTAACCAATACTTAAGTTCTAATACTTCACATTAAATGTTTAAAATTGTGAAATAAATGCCCAGAATTCATGCCCAAAAAAGGAAGAATAAAGCTAATGCAACTCCATAGCAACATTTTAAACAAAAACAAATCACAGACAGTACAAATCAAAAGTAGACAGACAACTGATTGAACACAGTACCAAAATAGTAGAAAAACACACCAGCCCTTTGATAATCCAAAAACAAACATTGATATAACTAAATATTTTGTACTTGTAAGCACACACTAGAAATGTACATCTCATATATACAGATAGAATCCAACATCTCTATTATTATTATTATTATTATCACCTTTTTAAGTCCACTTTTCTGCTGGACAAATCAGATTTGACAGAACTAAACACAAGCTATACGTTCTTTTTTTTTTTTTTAAATAAGCAATACAAATGTAATGAAAAGTCTTTGGAAAAATAATCAATAGCTATCGTATTGCAATACAATAAATGTAGTCTTTTTTTTTATACAACATTCAGTTTTAGCCTCAGTAGGTATCAAAAGAAGAAAAAAAGAAACCTGAACGCAAATATAAAACTGAGAAAAGCCACTGATAATCCAGAGGCATAGAAACCCATGTTGTTGACAACATATAAGAATCTTTCTGCAAATTGGCACAATAATGTCCATTTGAGCCATGTTATGCATTTTTACCAGTTTCATCTACAGTACTATATATATATCTACAGTACTATATATATATATATATATATATATATGTGTGAGGCGGAGTAGATACCTGTGTGTGTGTATATATATATATATATATATATATATATATATATATATATATATATATATACACACACACAGGTATCTACTCCGCCTCACACAATGTACCCACTACATCCTATAACAAAATACTCTCATCAATTAAACAATGTATCTGTGAAAATTAAAAGCACACATTTGAGCTCGTCATACAAAATTATGGATCCCAAGTTTCATGTGCATTTGTAATAAATATTACAAGCATCTCAATAGACAATGGCTTTAAGGAACTGCGCAGACTTGTTATTGTGGATATTGAGTAAATCTGTTGATCCATCTTTGCTTTAAAGTGATACTCCAGCCTAAATCTGCTTTTTGAGAATCAAACAATATATTTTGTGGCTTTAAAGGTTGTCCTGAAAGCTTTTCCTCCTTGAAGTAGCTGTGGTCAGCTTTAATTCAATTAAAGTACAGTCATTTCCATTGCTACCAATTGTAATTGCTGAATCAAGCAGCAAAATGCAAACTAAAATGGCTCAAACAATTCCAACAATGTACATTTTTTAAGCATGGTGTGCCATTATTATTGTAATCTTCAAATAAATGTACACAGTCAAGTTTACATTGAATAATAAGCAACCCACTAATACAGCCACCTTCAAGATGCACAAGGAGTGAATGTTTGTTACTCAACTCGATTTTTGCGAGTATCCCTTTCAACATCAAAGTTAAATCAGTGAACATAAAAAAATAGCCCTTAACTCTAGGCAGGTAGCCAATGTGTAATACATGAATTTGCATGTATATGGTAAAATACAGAATCCATCATTACCAGCTTTTGTTGTTGCATGGATGTTTTGAATGTGCTGCAAACTGAGAAGATGCAAAATGCTTTGTCCTCATTTACTACCACACTTTTAATCAGTCTTCCATAGGAAGAAATGTGATTTTTATAGAAAATAAATGCAAGTAGCACTGCTGGCTTACTGAGCCAGTCTGACATTAGTTTTGTAAATGTAGGATGCTCAGATTTGTATGGTCTCATGTATGTGCACTATCCATGATAACCAACCAAATTCATGCTGTTCTTGTGCAGATTCATTTGATGAAGAGATGTTTATGTAAATACTCCTTCATTTTACAGTAATGCTGTGTCTGTAGTAATATTTATAGTATTGCAACCATCAAGTCTTAAACTCGATCGATAGGAAGCTGGCATCATGCGAGTCTTGTTATGTTTTCAATCTCAGTCTGATGACCAGCCATAGCTCATAGATGCAAAATCACAAGATTTAAAGTGTATAGCCGTGCTGGTGGCTCATGCGAGTAAAATACAGACAGGTTGGCTGATGCCACATTTAAACCACTGATGGGGCAAATGTTTGGCCTAAGGGGAGCGGCAGAAAATAAAATACCTTTTAGAATGGTATGCAAGTATAACACGATAACATTTCATATGTTAGCATGCTTTGTTAGAAAAGTACAGTTGAGGAAGTGGAGACTTCAGTTATTAGATTCAAGAATAAGAACCGTTGAATTTACATGCCTTGAAAAGCGCAAATGAAATGTATGCATTTGTTATAGTCTGGTGTTTTTTGCCATTTCTACTGTTCTAAATAATACTATTTTTATCAAAGCTCCTTAAGGTAAACTGAGAAACTGCCAAAGCAATGAAAATCCTACTAGCTGAAATGTTTTAACTGTTTATGAAACTTCTGGGTGAAATATAAGAAAAATACAACCATAGATTATTTTCTGAGGTTCATAACTTTCTAGTTGCAATCATCAATCTGATGTATAACGTGCTGAAGTTTGTGAAAAAGGCTTCCCATTTTAAAAGCACACTTTCCCTAAGTGTTCCTTACTTTTAATGTGAACAAGTTCTATGTCTGAGGGTTTAAAATAAAGGTGGCCGGGTACAACAGCAAGATTTTATGGACATGCAACATTATGGATGATGACTACATTTATACAAAAAATGTAATGTCTCCCATATTTTCAGACCTATTGTGCAGTTTCCAAATCTTAAAAAGTCGGGATATTCCCCATTTAATTGTCTATACTTTTTTTAAACCTTGACCATTGGCGCTTGAGAGGCAATCAACATATTCTTTGTGTTTGTCTTTAAATAGGAATATGCCTGAGTTGTGCAATTGATCAACAAGTTGACAGAAGCTGATTTAAATCTGCTACAACTCAGTGAGAGTTGACTATATGATTTCTTGTCTCAAGTTAATAATTTCATGTATCCCTGGGGGTTCATGGCAAGCATAAAAGCTTTCCTTTTGGTTATGGTTCCATGACTATATATAAATTATATAGGTTAGCTGTAAGAGACGACTACATAGTAGCAATCCGAGTATGGTAACTGTGAACATCGTAACAAGTGAGGTTGTGGCTGCTGTGAATTAAAGCATACAGAGTGGACTTCAAAACAACCAATAAAGTAATCGCTGTTTTGGTAATAGTAAGTCTTACTTTAGAGGGCCAAAGTACAACCTAGCACCTGTTTGATAAATATACTATACTTCTACTTGTTTTTTTAGGATCATTCTCAAAGGCTATGAAGACATTGTTCCAGAACATTTTTGATAGCACATGTCAGACGCTAGCTCTGGAGTGGACTTGGAAGTCGATTTGAAAAGGTCAAAGTTATATTAGACCCAGCCTGCTCAGACATTGCAATAAGGAAAGAGACGTACATTAATGTTACTGCTGTTTAAATAACAAGCAACAGAGACCTGAGAGAGTGCAAGTGGTTGAGAGAACTGACACTATGTTTTGTAGTCATGTGCAATCATAAGATTTTTGCAGCAATGTCTCATGAACTCCAGCATTAGACTGAAGTCGCTGTGAACCGGAACAACAAGCAACCTTACTGTAACGGTTTCATTCGAATAATTTAAAGGTGCATTCACTGAACGCGCCTAATATGCATACACTTCTCCTGTAGGTCATGTATAGAGTACACACTGTGGGGGGTGCTAGGAGTTTTTCATGATTTGATAGGTGGATCCATTTTCTGGGAGGGTCTTGGCTTCAGTTGTTGTCGTTGGCTTTGGAGGCCAGTCGGGGTCCACCCTGAGCTCCTGGGCCAGATGCATGTAGCGAGCCTTGGGGGTCATCCGGCTCGGGCAGCAAAGCCGGGTCAGACACTTGTAGTATCGCAGGTCTATACCACCCTGAAAATACCACAACCCCAATAAACAAACAAATAAAACAAAAAATACCAGGGAAACAAGGAAAGGGAGGGATGAGAGATGCCATTAACTGTTTTCATTTTATTGCTCAGGTTTTCTAAAACCCTTTTACTGACCAATGCAAATCTGACAGTATCATGCTAATGCAACCATTGCATGCAAAATATTTAACTGGAGAGAAGCCATTTGCGTTAAACGCAGGCACATTTCTTTACACTGATAACTTGCAACAAGAATTTATGCATGCAGGTCATTCCAAATAAAATTCAGCATGATAATAGTTTAAAGGAGTTGGCAGCAGACGGCTTAATGACTGAGCCCACTCCCTAAAAACAAGCTCATGGAGTCAAAGATCAACAAACAAAAAAAGGAGTTCACAACATATTTTACAGATGTTCTCCTTAAGCTTATATATTGGACATTCAAGGCTAGCCGGCTTGGATTTGAAAAACACTGTACTTGAGACCTACTGTACACTAAGAGTGCAGCAAATGGGATTAATACGGCCTTTACCAGCTTGCTAAAGGTGTTAAAGGCCTTCAGCACGGCAGCTTCATGGTGGTTTCTAAAAGTGGCAAGAGCATTACTCATTTACTTAATCAAGCTGCAAACCGATGCTTTGCGTTAATAAACTTTTGTATCTCAATTTAAATACAGTAACTACAGTAGCTCTAAGTTTGAAAATAGCATTAAGTTTGACCTTATTTTAAATAGAATATTTGTCTTTAAAAGCAGTTATGAAGTATATCTTAAACACAGAGCAGGAGAATATAATGAAGTAAAACGGCAACTGTTATCAAGCCATGAACAGCAGAGGGTCACGAGAGGACAAGTCAGAAAGAGACTGACGTCTCGCACATGCACGTCTTGGTTAGTACAAGAGAAAGGTGTGCTCTGTTACTTTAGAGAAGGAAGTTGGAACAGAGAGAGGGAACAACACACAAGAGGAAAATGAACGGGCGATAGAAGAAGGTGTCTGGTTTTCCCAACCTGTGGTGTCGGGGCAACAGGAGTGACACCAAAGCTGCCCTGTTTGTCTCGGCTGAACACAAGCTTCCATAAGACGATGTCAAGGATGAAGGTCTATGGAATAGCGCAGTGGGCAGGGGAAAGAATTAAAGAGAGGCTCATTTGGTTCCTAATATCTTCTGCATTGTCTTTTGCACAGAGGTCTACAATTATTTTTGCAGACCCACCATTTATAAAAGCTTGTGTGGCAACTTTTTCCTTCTATCAAAGGTGTGTTAGTCATTACATGTGATGTTACAATTGAGTGAAACAAATGAGTAAGATAAGCATGGATACTATTGCCACTTAAAACTGAAAAAAGCTATTATTCTTAAATGTTGTGCGAATTTCCTTTTGGTTATATTTCTGACGCACTAAAAACTGAAAGGAATATGCAATGTTTAGGAAATAGCATCACCTCGGCAATGATGCTAAACAATGCATGTATGCAAGGGCAGTCATCTTAAAGGGAAAGCAGACATAGCTATACTGCTCCAAAGAGCAGGGGCAAGCTAGCAATAGATATAAATTGCCGTGCAGTGGCACAGCAATTTATTTTCTTAAAGAGCATCCATCTATCAAGAGACATCTGCTCAAAATCTGCTTCAAAAGCCCAACAAACTTAAGCAGTTCTGTAAGTGTTAACCATTACAGATACCTTAGTTTGTTTCTTTAAAGACAAGAACACTTTACAACATAAATTCTTCTCACAACACAAGATTGATCTTGCAGTCCGGCTAAATGAGACAAATATGAGCACACTGCATGAAAAAACAAAAAGCTGAACATGAGAAAAACACATCAACAGAAACCATGTGAAGTGTGTGTCTTACCTCCATCACAACAGACACTGCAGCATTGACTAAGATGATGAGGAAGAGCTTTACCCTCCAGTCAAACGGGACACAAACAATCTGTAGACAGAGACAGAAAACAAACACTCCAACGCTGACCATCAGAGAGTATTTACAAGGAGCCTTGTTTTAAGGCTTTATGTGTCTTCATGAACTTACAGAGTAGGACTTTATATAATATCATAATTATAAAAGAGTATAGAGCTTGCCATGAAAAAACAAGATACTGTACAGCAAGCAATATATTTCTTGTGTTTGACATCTTCTTACCTCTAGAAACTCGTCAATGGCTTTTACAGGGTAGAACATGATGAACAGCAGAAAAACATACAGAGTCAAGGCAGACAGCACAAAAGGCCCTAAGGAGAGAACACATAGCAAGCACAAACACATTTATAACATATAACAATAACTTTGCAACTATTTTAGGACCGATTTAATAGGAAGTAGGTTTCTTACAATTCTTGTAGCTAGGCTGCCTGAAGGGTTTGCCCTTTGAGAAAACGATGGCAACAACGAGATACTGGAAGGAGGAGACATAAAAGAGGCTGGTGTTCTCGTAGTTCTGGATGTTGTGGTCGTCAATTTCAGTGTCGTTGTGGCCAAACATGTTAATACGTGATGAGTTGTTGCAGGCACTGGGAGAGAGGGGAGATCGATTTGAGAACAATCAAATAACACTTTCAGGCTGTGGTTAAAATACAGAAATCTAACATTTATGTTTTGATGTTATTTTTGTTTGTGTGAGGTACATGGACAAGGACTCACTCAGAGAGCGGCGTCCACACTGTGTACCACGGCTGCTGTCGGACCCAAAGGAATGTAATGGTCTGGAAGCCCAAGCAGATGAGAATCTGGGTCAGCACGGAGAACAGCAGAGGCCCTGAGATCAGACCTGAAGGGGGACGACGAGACACCAGGTCTTTCCACGCTGGGTTCAGACTCACTGAAGGTGAAGATGGGCAGGGTGGGTGAGGAGAAGAGGCAGAAAGTAAGATAGAGATTAAGAAAAAGAAAGGGAGACACACTACACATTACCTTATCCTTATACATATACTTACTAGTAAAGACAATAAGAAGGATGATGGCAATATCGATGAAGAGGAACTGGAAGTCTCCAAGGTTACTGAGGATCTAAGAAATGAAAACAGCACAGATCAGAGATGGGATTTCTCCTTTTTCCCCCATCACCTACCATTGATTGTGAAGCAGCATTACGTACAGAGTAGAGGAGAGTGACACTGATGTACTGGATGATGCTGTAGAGGGCCATGAACTTGAACACACAGAAAGAGGTAATGAGAGCGGCACGCCCCTCCCTGTAAAGGAAAACAAACACTGTGTCATCTCTCCGTGCAACATAGAAGCTAACATTGTGTCATGTGGCTAAACAAACACAACCTGACATAAAAAGGCCTTTTCAGCACTATGAACAGGTCCAAATAAGGAGGATTTTAAAAGCATGGGTTGGTTTTCTTGTGTTAAAGAATAGGAATTGAATCCATTTTAAAGACGAATACATACAAAAACATAATTGCCTGCTAAATCAATAGCACTTTTCAATCAGTATATTAAGTGTTCATGCATCATTACCACCCCATCTAAAGAGCATGTAATGACAACGATATTGTCCATCTTGGTGCTTTTGAGGTGAGATAATCCTTCTGGTTTCCACTGTCCTATTCATATTTCCTGTGCCCTTTATTTATTGTGTGAAAAAAGAAGTAAAGAAAGACAGACCTGATGAGGCTGGGGACACAGGAGATGTTCGGGGTCTTCGAGGTGAAGGGAGAGGCTACTGAGGCTTCGAGCTCCGACAGAGAGATGCCACCATGAGCCCTCTTCAGAGCCTAATGAGAAAAGTGAGAAATATGTCCAGAGAGCAATTCATTAATGTCAAACTCTCATTGCCTCATTAAATGTTACTTTTAAAAGTTAATGTACATACCCCACAGTCGTTTGCTCCATCTCCACACATCCCAACAAAGTAGCTAGGAGCAGATAAAGAAGAACAGTGACTTTGTGCTCAGTGTTAACACTTTTTTATAAACAGAAACAATACAAATCATCTATACTGACTCTACCACTGAAGTTTAATTAAGTCGTTTTATTGTAGATAAAATACTTCTTTAAACTTTGGGGGACTTGTCAAAGTATTTCCCATCTCTACATCATGTGTTGGGACTAAACACTCACTCTACGCCCTGCAGAGCCTCAATGAGTTGAGTTTTCTGGTCCGGGGCCATTCTTGCAAACACTGTCCCATGTAGCACCAGCTGCAACGCAGAACACATGATCATATCAAAAGAAGTATTAGTTAGCATGGAGGTAGATCATACAGCAGCAGGAACTAGAACATTTCTACTCCAGTTACAGGTAAGGAATAAGTGACACTCATTTAAGAGACCTCACCTTTTGAAGCATGTCAGGGAAATGTTCAGAGATGACGGCAAAGGATTTTCCATTCATGGCAAAGTGGTACAGCTCCTTTTTGGGCTCATCTATGTGACACACATCATCCAGAGTGATGTTCACTTCCTGTTGGTATAATAGAGCATCAATTAGATCCAAACATTTTTAACATATTATTAAAAAGTTGCCTCAAAAAACATTAGAGTTGAATCAACCTATCAGAGTGTATTAACATCGATTAAGAATGCTGTGTTTCGCACAGGTCATATTTTGTCATTTAGTTTACTTATCATTCACTATGTGGACACATGTATTCTTGTTAGCCTCACCTCCAGATGAGATGTCTGGCTCGCCTTGTCAGCGTATCTCCAGGTGATCTTGGCGGCCTGTCCATCATGTGGAGGGAGGGCATCAGCAATGATGACTGTGTCTTGGGGAGGAATCATTCCACAGTCCCTGGCCACAGAGATGGCTGTCAGCATGTTGTCACCTGAATGTGAATACAGCACACATTAATAAATGCACAAGTCTACAGAAACTTGTTTTATAATGATCAGCTAATATAATAATATATAGATATTTCTTTTGTAATGCTACTCTGTTCTTTCATCTCTTTCTAATTTCTTCTCCGTTATACCTTTCTACACATGCATTACAAAGATTCTATCTGATCCACTACTCAACAACCAATATTGGTATGTCATAAGTATGAGTCAATTGTAGTCTTTAACTGATGGTTAGGTAGACAATGGGAAGAGGAGCCTTTTGTGCTAGGACATTTGAAGAACAAGACTGGTTCTGAAATGGTGCCTTATACTGTTTGTGTAGAACAGGATTCACAAATGAATAACTACATGTATTTTCAGCTTCACTTTGTTTCCTTTTATGACCAGTAAAGCAAACTTTAGAAAATAGTTTAAAAGGTAAAAGTTAAGCAAGGACGTAAAAAACAATTCTAGTGGATATTGGAGTTTGTGCCAGTTACAGTGAGCAACCCAGAAAAGTAATTAGTCATGATATCGCAGGTGCAGCAGATTAAATAAGTGCCAATACGCAGATTACCAAACCCACCGGCTGCCTGTATCAAATAAATAAAAAAGTTCTGCAAGCAATTTGCGTTGGCATAACTGTATGAGTTTTCTTTTGAGACTATAATGGTGCCGTTAGTAGTGGTTTTGATAAAAACCTGTGCAAATGTGTGTGTGTGCATGGCCTCACCAGTAACCATGACAGTGCGGATGCTGGCTTGGCGGAGGTCCTCCAGCACTGCTGGGGTTTCTGCCTTCAGCTTGTTCTGCATGATGATTAGACCCAGGAACTCCATGTTTGCCTCAATGTGATCCCTATTTCAAAGAGAAAGAATAACTTATTTATCATTATGGATAGGTTTAAAATTAAGGTCAAAGGCAATCTTATCAATAATGTACAAAACTCTACCTGCTGATGTTCTGGACTTTGTGCCAGCTGAGTTTGGATTCAAGTCGTCGATGAGCCAGAGCTATGACTCTGAAACCCTCCTTGGTGTAACCCTCTAAAACATCTGCAAAGTTTTCTGGCACTGCAAAGACACAGAGAAACATTTATGAAGTGAATAAAGCTAGAGAAGGACAGATAATTAATTAACTTCAAATATCTATGGCTTCGTTGGAGGAGAGGTATGATTCAGCCTTAGCAACAGTGTTTACCTCATCCGTAGTTTACGTAATTATTGGCTGGAATTGTAATTCTTAAACCGTACCGAAAATCAATTTAGCTTATTTAAATATATTATGCATCTATTCATTTAGTTAGTTACAATAACTTTGCTCCTCACCTGTGTCTTTCTTGCAGAGGCTAGCCACTATCTCGGGGGCCCCCTTCATGTAGGCGTCCATACGTTTCTCCCCTAGCAGACGAGCCACCACACACATCCTCTGGAGGGCTGAGGAAAAGGGAAACTGGCGCACGATACCGATCTCATGCGCTGACTGCATGTGCACACGGACACAAGGATACACAAAAACAAATACGGTTCTTATTAATAATGTCAAGAAGGACAAGAACATTTAAAATAAAATAAATATAGAAAATGTGTTTGAATACAGCGGGGAAAAAAATATATTTTTAGGTAAGAGGTAACTCACCGAAAGCTCATACAGTTCCTAGAATTGGAAAAGAACAGAGTGGGACGAGTCCATGAGAACACAATATGTGACCTGCTCCATCGAAATCAGTCGCATTGACCCAAAGACACATTTTGAGTTGTATACACTGTTGGAAAGAGGAGATTCCTAGCTTTCTAATGATATCAGGATTGTTTTTGTACTCCAAATATTAAGCAAAATATGTCACATTATATAATGACTGTCACCGAGTCATCATTTTGAGAAAAAGGCCTTCAAAGTTTCCTCTTCTCTGGAATCCATCGATCTGATTGATTATTAGCGGAGCAAATGATCAAAATACTACGGAGGGAAGATATTTTCGTTTGGATTGCTGGTCTGGGGGAAGCTCGCGAGTGTGTGTGTGTGTGTATACGTGTGTGTGTGTTTGTGTAATTTTGCGTTTCTGTGTATTGTTTGATTCCCGGGGAAAACACTCACGAGAAACACCGGCTGTTGTTATGCCTGCTGTGACGTCAAGTTACTCCGTTCTCCGCTTGTAATTATGCCGTTACAAGCTTCAAAGTTGTATTTATCATCTGAATTTGCCGAAACAAGTTTAATATTCTGAAAGCCAAGACCTTGTTTAATTGAAATCAGATGAAAACAAACTGTAACGGACCCTGCCGTGTTATCTATTTTACTATACGCCTTACATTCATAATGTCAGCCGGAGGGAGGGGAAGCTGCGCTACGGAACAGCAGAGTGGCGAAGGAGAGCTGTCATCTTCCATTTACAAGCTTCAAAAATGTATTTATTGTGTGATTTTGGAAATAAAAGTTTCATATTCTGAAAGCCAAGACTTTGTTTATTTAAAATCAAACAAAACACCCGAACCCCGAAAAACTATTTCTTTACGCAAATCCACGTTTATTTTGAAATGAGCCGTTGCGACTTCCGACTGATTTCGATAGAGCGGGTCACATATGTCAAAACAACCAATACAGTAATAGCTGAAAAATGTTTCTATTAACTGTCTATTACTTATATTGCATTAAGGCAACATAAAAATTCTGGTTTTATTTATAGCCAAAATACTGTAGAGTAAGACAATCTTTTATCACATGTATAAGGATGACCATTAAAAAGGAAGAGATAAAAAAAAAAGACTACACTAAAGCTATTGTTTTTTTTATAATATCATCAGGTTTATACAATTTTAGACATTTCCCATATATTGAGGAACTGTGGTCATCTTTCTGAACAACTGGGTTAAATTCCGTACCATGTCCTGCTCTGGTGTTACGGCAGGCTCTGGGGGCAGCAGCTGTTTTGGGGGTTTAACCACAGTGGGCATGATACGGTTGTGGAGAGATGTTTCCTCCTCGGTGGCCTCCTCCAGGATCTGTGTAGACAAAGGTTTATAAAAAATGTCTGTCATATAGATATCTTTTTTTATTCCATCTTCTTCTTTCTGTTGCACACTGTCAGCCTGACTCAAAAGGCTATTTGCCCTCATACACCCTTTGAAGGGTGCTATTACTAATCTCCTTCCCACTGCGTTGCCCTGACCATCCTCATGCTTTAGGATGGATTCAGAACCACTCACCCAGCCTGTGGCCTCAAACATCTTAAGGTCCAGTGGGTCTCCGGACAGCTGGCCCTCTATTTTGGTGAGAGAGTGGCAGGTGGCCATACATGCCACAAACTGGGACTTGACTAGATTTTCCTTGTATGCATTTTCCTCTGACAGATGGAAACTGGAGGCAGAAGAAACATGAGGTTAACAAGAGACCTTCAAAAAAACAGTGGATTCTGAATCCTCTCACCAGGGCCCAGTAGTTAAAAACTTTTAATCTCAATCAGATCCGATCAGATTTTGAAATCCCATTTTTTGTGATCCAGGATCAGACAACTCGGCCAGATTTTGTCCCAGTATTTCAAAGCAATTCAGGATAGGATCACCCTGATCCAGATTCAGACTTTTCAAGATTACTAGATCCTGAATATCAGTGCTTTAATCCTACCGATCTCCATCTAGTGGATATGAAAAATAATACAAGGAAGACAAGAGACCACATTGCAGAGACATCTATTGTCCGCAATTACTTTTGAAAGGTGATGACAGATGGACTTTTTTTTTGTTGAAGATATTTTTTCTTTAATCTAAATTACATTTGTGATTGACAATCTTTGTTGTGATAATTTTATGAGCATAAACATTTATGTCATCAACATTTGGTTGAAAACAAAATAGGCCACCACAAAAATGGTGTATTATTTCAGTTAACAAACTTTGCTATCTTATTTATATTGAAACATATTTTTAAATAAATTGTACATTACATTTTGCTCTGGTAATCCACTGGAAATCCACCCCTCTGATGGGATCAAGATAATCCAGTTTTTTGGGATCAAACTGATCCCAATCCTGTGTTGTCGGTTTGAACTACCCGTTTTGAAGATTTGATCCAGATTAAAGCTTGGATTTGATTTCCTGATCTGATCGGATATCAAAGTGATCCTAATCCTGTTTTTTGGTTTTGAACTACCCAAAATCCAAATCTGATCCGATCAGATAGGGATTAAAAGTTTTGAACTACTGGGAGGTGATCAGCAAATCCATACAAGTTCATCAATGGCTAACTAAGAGAATGACTTCTTTCTAAAAACCTTTAAGATAATGATTTCTTTGGGGTTTGAATATTTTGGATGCAGCTGAAAGGCAACGAAACAGTGGCAGTTCCCTGTTAGATAACCAGACCAGCTTACCTGCCGTTCTCTACCCTCTGAACACCCCATAGGTCTAATCCATCTTCTGTCAGAGTTCCAGTCTGTAAACAGGAAGAAAGTTTAATTTAACTGAGTTACATGTAATCAAATCAAATATAAGAGGTACAAATATCTCTCTATTTCTTCATATTTTGTTTATTTTCAGTTGATATGTAAAGTTAGAGCTGACTACTAGCTGAATACAACCAGAGGTACTCACCTTGTCAAAGCAGACCAGATTGAGTTGACCGCAGATGTTGATCCTTTGTGGGCTGATGCAAAAAATGCCCAGGTTTTTGAGGCGTCGCTGGGCGTACACAATGCCAGCTGTCATGGCGGCTGGCAGCGCCGGGGGCACAGTAATGGTGATGATGTCCAGAGACTCTATAATGATGGTTTTAGCTGGCACCTGGGGGAGGGCAGAAAGGACAGAGTAAGGGCACTTTGAAATGGTTGATAATCACATTGATCAGAAAACTCTCCAGCTATAAATCAACATGCTGATGCTTATTCTGCTGTAATGCAACAAGCGATAGGGAGACAGGACAACTGATGTCTCAAACCATTCATGTTGAGCACAATGTTGCACAGAGGGAATGAAGGGCTTGACACAGGACATCATTCTTTATTTCACAGAGCCAGTGAATCTTCTATAGGAAAGTATGTGATTTTCTTGCAGTTGCCCTTTCACCCCCTCTTTTACTTCTGTAACACACAATGCTTACCTTGTTCATGATGCTGAGGACAATGGAGTAGACAAAGCCAATTCCAGCTATAGCCACCAGACACAAGAGGAAGAGGTAGGCATCTCGGTACAGCTTGAAGTCGGTGGGTTTTGGGTAAAGGATGGAGCGCACCAGCTGGCCTTTGGCTGTGCTGAAACCTGGGTAAAGAAGTTTTTATGAGAATTTTTCAAATATTCGATTTTACACTCCTTTCAGAAAGGGTCTCTAAACTGTGACGAACAAGGATTAAACTGCAGAGCACCTAATAAGGTGACTCCCTGAATAAGAGGGATATTTCCAACCTCAGAAAGGCTGTGTTGATCTTTTAACAAATGGCAGTAGAACCTTTGATTTATTTCTTTAGACAACAGATGAAACCCTTGTATTTCAGTCAAGTATCTAAGTACAGCTTACTCTATGGAAGTAGCATCTCCAGCAATAGAATAAAGTCCTTACACATGGGCTGAGCATGTATGTAAAGTTATAACATGCATAAAGTGAATAGTGTCTCATTGTAAAATATATAAAACCACTTTTGAATGTCACTGTTTTAGATCCAAAGTTTCTACATATAGAACATTTACACCAATTTAGAGATGATCTCAACATTACATTCCTAAATTAACATCCCCGGACACACACACGTACCTGTGCAGACCACCACAGCCTTGACCAGGTCGCCTGTGTAGAAGCGGGTCTGGATGACGTGGGTGCCACAGAAGAGTGTGTGTCTCTTATGCTCCTCTGTGTTGAAGACACTGTCATTATCCTCCCCCCTGTCCCCAGGCAATGGGTCTGGCAGGTTGGTCTTTGTCACAGGAACACTCTCACCTAATTAGAGGTTAGACTGATATTAGCACTGGCAGATGGAAAATTAACAAGAAGAGCTGTTGGCTGTTTAGAGTCTCCTATGGCCGGTTGTTAAGCCAACAGCCGCGCTCTCTCCTGAGTTTCTTAAATGTTCAGATGTCGCCTCTAACCTGTGAGCATGCTTTCATTGACGATGCAGGTGCCGCTGACCAGCACGGCGTCACATGGCATGATGGTCCCATTGATGGGGATGACCATCACATCACCGGGCACCAGATCAGTAGATAAAATCTCTTCGATTTCTGTCGGGAAGGGGGGTGCAGGGGAGGAGTGGAGAAAGTAAATGTGTGCATTAAATTCAGACAAGTGGAGTGTGGAGTAAAACAAATAGGAGACTGTTAAATGAGGAGTGTGGAGAAAGGTGAAAAGTGTAATTCAACAACAGCAGATGGAGGATGTGGGGGGGAGAAAGGAGACATTTTGTGTGTCAGAGCCCCAGAGCCTTGTTCAGCACTTCTCTCATTACTCATGCCTAGGAAGGCAGCAGGAAAAAGCTGAGGCATCACAAGCAGGGGCCAGTGCAGTAAATGGATGCATACATAAAAGTATAAGAGTGTTCAAACTTCCACGGCAATGTTTTCCAACTGAGCATGAGTCTAATTTTGTCTTTTGGCCAATATTCATTTTAATTGGCTACAGCTGATAGGACACTGGATGAGAATGTCAAGGCTCTTCAGCAGATACTATAACCCACACAGACCTATAATATTATGTGCAGAACTATTAACAGGGATGCAAACTCATCAGGTATGAAAAAGGTGACAAGGATCCGAGCCCCCCGACCCCCATATCGGCTTTAAAATTAGGAATAACAGAGGATTTTAGCAGTCAGAACAACTAAAGCAGTTAATAATAACAGAAACGCCAAAGAGTCACATCTAATAGAAATGTATAAAAGCATTTATTTTAATTGCAGCACTGTTGAACATTTTGAAAATGTATTTTCATGCCTCTGTGCAAGGCTTAGTCTTTCTATCTTTATAGCCAGTGGTGTAAAGTAACTAAGTTCATAAACTCAAGTACTATACTTGGGTACAATTTTGATACTTTATTTAAGTATTTCAATGTTTTGCTACTTTGTTCTTCTACTCCTCTACAGTTCAGAGGTACATGGTGTACTTTTACTCCTCTACAGTTCAGAGGTACATGGTGTACTTCTACTCCTCTACAGTTCAGAGGTACATGGTGTACTTCTACTCCTCTACAGTTCAGAGGTACATGGTGTACTTTTCCTCCACTACATGTATTTAATACCTTTAGTTACTTTACAGATGTGGATGAATGATGTGAAATATAATCAAGTGTTAAATCAGACTTTAGTTCCACCTGGAGTAAATTCACAAGCTACCCTGCAGTATACAAAGTCATTCAAACTAGCTGCACCTTTACCAGCTTTGAGAATACTTTCATGATCAATCATTATAAAACATATCATATATATTATTCTGAAATGGACCAATCTGCACAATGACTACTTTTACTGTCGCTACTTTAACTATATTTTGATGAGAATACTTTTCTACTTTTACTTGAGGAACATTTTGAATGCAGGACTTTTACTGTAACAGAGTATTCCTACACTCTGGTACTTCTACTTTTACTCTAGTACAAGATCTGAGTACTTCTACTTTTACTCAAGTACAAGATATATACTTATACCACCTCCGTTTATAGCCTATGAAAAAAACTATTTTTGATAAGGCTAAAGCTAACGTTAGCAGATAGTGACATTGTATGCTAGTTAGCTAGCTCAACGATTCATTAAATAATATTGCGACAGAAAAATGTTCAGTGCACATCACGCTCTGCTGCTCCGACAGGTGAACACCTGAACGGCCAGTTCTAACAGCTGTTCACCAGCGGTCCAGTCTGTGCCACGGTGACTCCGGACCGCACAGTTAATATTAACGAACGCACCCGTAGGTAATGTAGCTGCTGAAGCTAGACCCTCATCCCGGAGCAGCAAAGCCTTATTATACATCCATGAGCAGAGCTGACAGGCAGGAAGACTTGTGCTCGCGCTGCATTATAATATATAAAAAAAGAACACCATGCGTGTCATGATGGCACATAACAGCTCGCGGCCGCAGATTACTCCGGGTCCCAGACCCCCCCCATACCCCAAAAATATTTTTATTGCAGATCTACACGAATCACACAAACGACCTATTTTGGATTCAAAACGGCGAATTTCGCCGAAAGGTGACAAGTTTGCATCCCTGATTAAAGAGTGCTTAAAAATGAATGCATTTCCCGCCATCTACAATAAAACCTATCTCTCTTTAGATCTGCATTGTCCCATACTAGCAGCCATCTGAAACACAGCCAATGGGACTGTGTAATTGAGTCTGGGCTAGCACACAAGCAAACAGAATAAAGTCTACTGCGAGGTTACGTTTGGAGAGAATAGAAAAAAAACGTGGTGTACTACTATTTAAATTACCATCTGCAACAAACAACAACAGAAGAAAAGAAGGACAACAGAAAGGTACAAACCATTGTTGGGTCGGCATACAGACACACGGACAACACTGTGAGTTGCCACCATATCGTGGAGCATGATGTATTGCTGGAATAAAAGAACAAAGACGACAGACTTTAGACATTTTTTTGATTCGCATATTTACCGGAGTATAACTATGTAGCCAGATGTGAGGTCAGATAAATGTCTCTGAATTTATTGAAAGTCTCAAGATTTGTGGAGCCCACCTTTTTAATGGTGTACAGAGAGGTAGCTATGGATATGATCGACATGAAAAGGATGGCCACAGCATAATAGTAATACTCATCGGCACTCCACAGGATCACACTGAAGAGCTGGAAGATGTAGAAAGGGTTTAGGACCTGCAGGAGGGAGACAGAGAGAGATTAGTGAGGTTATTCAAAGACAGAGATGTCTACTTGAGGATTTAATCAAGATGCTTCCTTGACAACGAGAGGGAAAAAGAAGATTAAAAAAAAGTTTGCATATGTCTGCATAAATTCCCATTTACAAGATGTACATATATTTATTTATGTAGCTTTAGATATGTTACATGCTGTACACAAGTTTACTGTGTAAGGGGATGAGATGTCCCACTTTTGTTCATTGTGTTGCCTGCACGGGGCGGTAGGTGTAGTATTTATCAACGTACCTATTACATACTGAAACTAAACTCGTCTTATAGAAATACAGCAAGTAGATATCTAAAACAGTTTCCTTAAAAAGAATGCACACAACTAGAAAGGTCTCTTTATCTACTAGCTGGGAAAATATTGGTTAGTGTGGTATTTAATTGTTTGAAGGAACTGAAATGCAGAGATAAATTCACAACATTGTAACTTTAATATCGGGCACACAAAAGTCGACAAGGAGTCTTTAATTCAAGACAATTCAAACTTCAAGTCAAAGACGTGCTGCCTGTGTGAAGGCAAACCGGGCCTTACCTCTTTGATAAGCAGCTTGAAAACAGAAGGCACTTTCACTGCAATTTCATTCACTCCGAAGAACAGTCTCCTGACAAGAGGTGAAAGAGACATTAATGAGCAAAGTGTTGTAAACAGCACCTTCTTATCAAAACATAACCACATACTCAAACACACATCCAAGCATAAACATAGTAATATGTGGGCTCTATAAAGTCTGACTACAGTTAGTTTGTGCCACCTATCCTTCAGACAGGTGAGCTGTACCTGTACTCCTGCTGGTTCCTGGTCAGGCCTACACTGTGCTCCGAGTGGAGGGTGGAGCAGCTGACCTGCAAATCCTCCAGGCCGCTGCAGGGGTCAATGCAGGGGGGCAAAAGTCAAGACTTTTAATTACACATAATGGTGCAAGCAATGCAAGTCTAATAATTACTGCAGTTGTAAAAGGTTAAGGATTTCAGATGTTAATGTATTGGTCTTTACAAGTTAAAACATAATTACAAATGGAGTTATAATTAATCTGCTTACTCTAAGGGAGGAGTTTTCAGAAGCAGTAGCACCTACAAACTGGAATAAAAAAATGCCCATAACATTTCTGTAAATATCCAAAGAATGCTTACGTTAAAACACCAAAATTCTGCACCTCGTCGCTCCAATAATACGTTGTGCTATGGAAGGTAAAGTAGCGGATCTAGCAGAGGGAAATACAAGAGGGAGGAGCAGGGAGAAGGGATACATGTTACTTTTACTGTATTGCTGTCCACATGCTAAAAGGCAATAAGTAAATGTGCATGAAAGAGAAGGGTAAAGCAGAATTCAGTTTTATGCAACATATTTTTGACAATTTGCAGCATCACTATGAATATAGAATGTGATTAAACATTATTAAAGCGTTGTAATACTTTGATCAACTGTGGAAGAACAAACACCGATAGGTGCTTGGCAGCCAGTTTATGGTTTCTATCATCGGTGTGTTCAGCGTGTGTGTACATACTGTATACTGTGGAGTTTGAGCCTACCTGTGTGGGCTGGTAGTCGGCATATCTTCTGATGAGCTCCTGGTCGGGGTTGCCATCAGAGGGGTGGGGGGTGTGTCCATTGCCCAGAGTGGGGGAGGAGAAGGGGCAGGAGGGAGAGGAAGGGGAGGTGGTCTGGGTCTCCAGGCTGTGGAAGGGGTTCCTTCCCGGGGCCAGCATCACTCGTACCCTGGCCAGGAACCAGCGCCGGAACTCATCCTGGTCAAACAAATACAGGCAAGGTTGTTGTAATGGACTTTTTATTACAAATTGACCTACATTTTCTGCTGAACTTACAGTAGGTCATTTCTATAAAAGGCAGCATCACTAAAGAACATAAGGTAGCCAGACATAGCATCAATCCTTATTTATCCATCTTCAAATACTGATCTGCATTTGGTGAAGACACTATGTATGTCTCCTAAGTCAACATTTATTGTCAAATGGGTTAATACAATGGGGATTTAGCCAATAGCCCAATGATCAAAGTATTGCGATATTAATATATTTTATTGAAAAAGAGTTGTCAGTGGCAATATTCTTCAATAAATCAGAATAGGTTTGGTACATATAATATATTAACAGGGAAAATGCAGACACATTCAAAGAGACCAACACTGCGAGATAGGAAAGACACAAATGACACATATGGGTGTTATGAACACATGGGCTGACACATGGCAAATGATCTGTGTATTTCTGCTGGTGTGACTCTCAGTAGGATCAGCCAGGCTCTATTTACTCTGCTTAGACAACATATACTATAAATAATGTATACATTCACAGCTTTAAAAGCTGAGGTTTAAATATTCTGCATAGATTCATGATACTGTTCTATTATTAAAATAACTGAAATAGATGTATAATAATAATAAATGAATGAATGAAAGTGCAATTTGAAAAGGGACCACTTGTTTTCTATACAGCGTAGGCTCTTTTATACCAATACTCACAATTACAAGGACTGAAACAAAATCAAATGTCCAAGTATTTCATGAACTATTGCAGCTGTGTATTCTACCTACCGTGGAGCGCAGCAATACCACTTCAGCATCGCGGGCTGTGGTGCGGGTGCAGGTGGATTTGACGCACCACTCCGGCATCCAGTAGAGCAGCAGGAGGAGGAAGCCCCCTGTGAACAGCACCCCGAGGCCCACAAGGGCCAGCCGCCAACGACACAGACGGTACCCCTGCAGCTCCTAAAGGGTGAAGGGAGAAAAGGGGGAGAAGTCTTATAAGCAAGAAAAACACTAATTCCAAAATGTTCACGAATGTAAAATGATATGGAGAGCCGTACCAGCTCCTCCTCTTCCCCTTTGTTGAGGACCTTCAGGTCTTCTTTCTCCATGCTGCACAACAGTTTGCCAAGCCCCTCCTTTAGTCACTGCAAATAAAACAGACAAAATGTCAGAGTGGACAGTGTGGGAAAACAATATAGCTCCACAACCGCAAATCAAAACAGTGGCTCCACACCACAGGGTCAGACATCTTAGGCTGGGTCACAAGAGGCTTTCTAATGATAAGTGAGTTTTGTGTGGAAATGCTGGGTATTTCTCATTAACAAATGTATCACATGTTTGTGATATAGAGAAGCAGAGAAAAAAACTCCAGATAATCATTTGCTTGTTTTTATGTTATGCAGTTAACTCTACATTTCTGTGGTTGCAAAATCATGCATACAATACAAATAACTTCATAGTTGAGGTTTAGGAGCTGAAAGGATTGAGGACCATCACTGTTTCCAAGCCAATTAACATCAATTCTGGAATGAAAATCTAGTATTAAATCCATAATTACAATAATTAATGTTCATGTGTCGTACAATAATCCGATAACGTTATCATCTTGACAAGCTTAGGCCCTAATAAAAATATGTATCAATACAGTGTACTTGTTTTCACCCAACTGTTGGATTGACATGCTGGTCATCAGTGGGTTCTGATAACACAGTCCATAATATTCAGGAGGTGTTAAGTGGTAATGTGTCAGTTCCCTTCTATTTGATGTATTTTTAAAACATTCACTCTCCTTTCCCCATGCACACCCTACGCTATCTTTTGAATGGTTGTTGGAAGCACTTGCCCATAGTAAGTAATCTACTATAGATACAGAGTTATGTTTAGTCAAATACCTACAGTAGATGGAATGCAGAAAAGAGTCTTGTGATAAGAGAGAATCTCCTGTAAATAGAAGAGTCAATTGTCCACACACTGTAAATGTCTGTCCACAAGAGAGCCAAGTACATTGGCTAAAGGTCTGAAATACATCTTGTCCTAATGCAAAAGTATTTGAGCAGTGAAAATAAGTCCGTTGGCATATCAGAAACTAGTGAATGCATCCAACCAATCTTTCTAAAAGCCTTAGGCATGAGAAAACTTTTCCAGTCTTTGCTTTTGCCTATATCTATGTGAATAACAAGCGCACATTTTCTACCATAGACGTAGGGCTGTGCAATTAATCGTATTTTAATCTCGATTACGATTTTGGCTTGCAACGATTACAAAAACAATGTAATCGAAATAAAACGATTATTATTTTAATAAAAAAAAATAAAAAAATGTAATTTTTTTTTTTTTTTTGGTTTTTCTGTTGAATTATACTTAAAGTTCAGGGTAATCAACTGTTCAAAACATACTGTTCAAAAAAAAATTTCAATATATGGATGTTTTCAAAGTAAATGGATAATCGTTTTTAATAATCGTGATATCAATTATTGACCAAAATAATCGTGATTATGATTTTTGCCATAATCGCACAGCCCTACATAGACGGATGTTGTTTAAAAAGCACATGAATGTCAATAAAAACCAGAGTGAGCAGGGATCAAAATGTTTTTTTCCGAACTCCACCTATTTAACCCAAGTTGACCCCTTTAACTGTCTGTGGGGAAAGAGCTATAACAAAGGAGGGTATAACTGTCTGAGGACACACATTGCAGGAAAGCTGACAGAGGTCAATAGTTCATTTGAGCACATGGGAACTGCTCCAACTACAAGAATGCACAGCACTTCACAGACAGCTGCTAATTGTCAAAAACCTAAGTTCACTCCCAAAGATTGTTAACGCACCCACACACAGAACAACTGAGTCATCAACCTATTAACTCCTCCCACTTGTTTCCAAGGAACAGGCAGATACCAAGGAGGGCACACTGTGACTCTTAACAATTTATATTTTATGCTGCGTTTATATAGACTCAGAAGAGCATCTACGACAAAAATATGTTCAATCTCTTACCAGTTGTGTTACAGACAAACGGTCTCTTTGGCTAATAGCAGAACCAACTCTGCAGGCTGCTTTTTTCCATTTTGCTCTAGCATAGTATTATACAGGGAGATCCAGTGAAGCTGAATGTGTGTGGAGGCAAACTGTGTAAGAGGTTAATTCGACTACTGGCTTTGTGGTCAGGAGCTGCTAATCACTAGGTCCACTGTGGATTACACTTGGGCTTCTGGGTGACATCTCATCCAGGGCTTAAAACTGCCAGCATCTCCTGGATCTGAATTTGAGCCGGTTGTAACTCATATAAACTGTTGGGTAAATTTGAGTTTTTTTTATTTTATAAGTACAGTACAGAAAGGTTTTGGTGTTATTTATAGTGGCCTCTCCTGTCTGTCTGTCTGTCTGTCTGTCTCTCTTCTCTGTCTGCGTTTGTTGACCTAGTCCTAGGGCAAGGCTCAACTACACCACACATGCGTGCACTACCTTTCAGGTGGTACTGTTCTTCATTCTTTTCAAACTTCATTTATTGCCAGGAATACTATTTACCGTATTCAAATGTGTTATGGTCGAGTTGATAGCGTGATTGTGATCTTGTAAATATTGCTGTAGCTTTTTGGATGAATTCTGATCCAATAGTCCAAATAAATGTACTAGTGATTTGAATACAGTTCAAGTTTTCAGCAACAAACATCATACAAACATACATGCTATGAATAGAAACATGCTAATGTAAACCAAAAGGTCTCACTCCTTTTACATATTCTCTTTGATTATTTAATGGTTACTTCCAAATAGGTAGTGTTACAATATGCCGGAATTGACCATAACGGTAGTCGTTTAAAAACAAAATATTGTTATCATGTTAATCCTTCATGTATTATAAAAGTGTGTTAAAAATAAAAGCCTCTTTTAATCAATTCCTTTTTCTTTCCGTTTTGTCTCTCTCACCGAACGCCCCACACACACATACAGAACATTTGTTTAAATGTGCCAAACGCGACAAAATGCACATCAAACAAAGTAAAATATAACTGTAACTAATATATTTTTTTTTATGATTTTAAGTTCTTTAAGTATTCTGTAAATATTGTACAAATATTGGTATTGTGAGATGTTTTGGCCATGATAATTGTGTTGTGTATTGAGACAGCCCTACTTCCAAATATTATATTATAATATATTCTACCAGTCTGTCTGCTTTAGTGCTCTGCCTTTACAGTACAACTGAACAAGAATTGCTGGCAGTAAGCACCAGTTTACCCAATACATGTTTAAGAAAGTATAGCTACATTCTCCATTGAAAAACAATGGCCATTCTCTGTGCTCTCTGTTCTTTGGTGTAAAGGCTAGTACACCAAATAAATAAAAAAGAATGATACAAAAACCATAGGGTCACCCTGCTACAGCCCCCACTGATCCTGTATCACTGCCCCCCACACTCTGATTTTATCTGCCAGCTGCACCCGGGTGGACTTTTTCCCTGGCATACAGCGGGATATTTTGCTTAGGACCAAGCCCTTCCTAGTATTTTACAATAGCAGCCCCCTGGCCGGCGCTATGCAGAGGGTGCAGTGCAACGAGAACAATCCCTCCCCAAAACCTGCTATGACTGGAAATGCCGACACCAGTGCATCATGCACACACTCTTTTACAAGATGGTTGTCCTGCCATGGTGACTAACAGATAGCACTCAAAAAGGGTTTAAAAAGTACCAAGCTTGTAGTTACTGTCACCAAAAAGTGTTACATAGTCTGTCAAGTTGGAATGATTACATAGAAGACAGAGGCTAGTAACCTTCGAAATCATTCAGTGTCCAATAATGACAGGCTCAGAACAGACAGGAGGCCAGAGTTGAAACTTAATGGTAAAGGAGCCGGACACGTTAACCCTGTTTATGACTTCGGTAGTAATATGTTACACTTTAACTCACGTTGGAGATAAAATTATACTTTCATTTAGGGGAATTTGTGCAAAAGTGTCAGGATAGGGTACTGTCGCACAACACGGCTATACAAATTGCAATTATAATGTACATCAGAGAAAGAATAAATAAATAAATACAATTGTTAAAACAAAGACACATCTTTCCCTAGCCCTTACCAATCGTATATCCAAAAAGCCTTGAATGACCCCTTACATGCAATAGAACTGTCTTTTAATGGGCAAACCTAAGGGATGTAGCACAATGATTATATTTATACTGTTGCAATAAGTACATTTCCTCCCGTGAAATTATCTCCTCTAATTATAGTGCAGTATTAAATTGTATTTACTATTCCGAAACCCGTGTGTGTCAACAGTGGATGTTTGTTTGCTGAAAGTGTTTTGTTTTGAGGAGGTTTTCTGGTTTTTAATCTGTCTTTAAAATGTACTCATGGGGAGTAGAACATGTTGTTTGCTATTAGATGCTGCCAAAGTCACTTCTCAAAGTTTTATAGCATTTGTGCAGTGCCATCAGCTCCAGGAGATTCACAGCCTTTGTGTCTGTTTGAAGGTTCTGTGGATGATGTGTCTAAAAATTATAGCAGATCACTACAACAGCTATAAATAACAATACTAGCCCGGTAAGATCTCAAAACAAGAGTTTAAGGAATATTTGGATCAAGTTAATGGGTGTACGACTGAGTCGCATCAAAGATGTTGCACGTGTTCCTTTCAACAATGTGTCTAATTTAGACACTAAGGATCGTTCACTCTTCCAGGCTGTAACTCCACAACAAGCGTAATAAAAACAGGTTTGCGGTTGGTCCCTACCTAGAAAGCCAGGGACACGATGCCCCAGGCGGTTCTCCTTCCCGCAGTTAGCTTGCTCTCTCAACACAGCAACCTGGAACCCTGTGGGGGAAAAAAAAACACAATTGTACATTACAAACACAGCTTTCCAAAACTTCAGGTCTTTATTCTAAATGAACTGTGATACGCTGGGAAGAGAGACATTCCCAAAACAGTAACATATCATCCAGAGGGGAAAAACAATGATGGTTAATGTGTATTGAACAATCTGCAGAACAATTACCAGGTAATGTAATGCACATTCCAAGGTGTTCTCTGGTTTACTGTTTTGAAGAGCATTTAATGTATGCAATTGACAAACAACTGAACATCATTTGGTTGTACCTACAGGTAGCAACAAGATTTTGTAATTTTAAAAAATTGAGAAAAAAAAAGGTTCTATATATGTCATTCAGAATATTATTATAGCAAACAACTATTTGCTATGTTTAGAATGGAGAAAGTGATCCTCAGCAGAGAATGAAGTCAAACTCGCAGTTTGTGAAACAATCTGAGCTTCTCTGTGTCTTGATTTGATAGAGAAGCTTGGCTGTACATGCATCATGTAAGGGCATGCGAGTGTTTCCCACTGGCTAGCTAATTGCTGCTCTTCTTCGCGGGCTCCGACAGCAGATAAAGCTGATAATGTGTCCCGACCCATGTGGCTTTGTTGCAGAAATGTAACTGCCACTATCCGGTTCTCCTAGTTAATTTACGCTATTGGTTTTGTCAGGACTTTTGCCGACCTTTGCACTGTTAGCTCAGTTAGCACTGTAAATTGCTATATACTGGATTAGCCTTTGCTAAACTGAATCGTAGATATGCTTTGCATTTTATATTGAGCCCTTAAATAGAAATGGGAAAACAGTCTGGAATTAAATCTGAAAACAATCAGCATCATTAAATAACCTACAGGGAAGTTCAGGTACCAACACCAAGTCTATGTATACAAATGCAGATTTTTTTTAAATAATATTATCCTACTCGCATAAAAAGGTTCAAATTCAGATTTATATCTTCCTGTACAGTATCCAACATCTCCGGAAGACTTGTGTTGATGATAATCCTGTTCTGCTCTGGACCTGTTTGTTTTATGTTTTATTGCCAGTAATTACTTGCGCTTAATAATTAGCAATGGTAGCCTCATACCGAAATAGCTGCAGTATATGGAAGAACTGTCAGGTGATTCCTCCTGACTCAAATCCACTCACAAGGCTTGTTGTTTCTGTCCTTTTCCAATGCCATAATATGATACATAAGGATGACAGGAGAAACCACTGTATTTACTGGAATATAGAGGACCCTCACGGGGCCTCTAAGAGTCAGCATGACTTCACAGATATTTATAGAGTCCTCCAGCCCTTCCTAAAGCCACATTGTTGTCTCTCATTTGATTAGTCTGCTATTGTATTAATAAGCAAAGCTGGCTTTGGAGAGAAGAAACATGACGCAGCTGTTGTTTTTTTTCCAAACTACAAGATTAAACCTGACGATCATCAGAGTTCCTGAAAAGGAATTGTAAGTTGTCAGATATAATATCCGCAGAGTACATGTTTATCAAACCACAACAGAGTTAGAAACATGAACAGCTATGAGTTTAAGAGCAGATGTGATTCTATTATTAAGCACAGCTTTTATACAGGTCAATCACACATGTATTATGATATGACTACCTGTTGACACAATTAATGATTAATTTAGTTGACTGTACTATGAGCTGCCTTACTCCAAATCATCAACTGCTTTCAACCAACCGTCATAAATTCATTTTAATTTGCAAATGAACCGTTGCCAGATTAGTGAAACAATTAACATTTGTATTTGTTCTTTATTTTTTCTAAATAATTACATTCTGAATGATTACAGTAGCACCAAACCTCCAGGTCAAGGACGGCTGATATAAAAGAGTCACAATATGATATTACTGATAGTTTAACTGAGTCAAAAGAGTCATGTATTAGACTCAACAGTAGCATAAGCACAGTCATGCTTCAAGTCCAATGCTTGCATGGTATGAGGGATGTTAAACAAAGTGTCTCAATATTGTTTTGCTAAAAATATTATCTGTACACATTTCACATGTGAGCCTGAGCCTTTTGTAGCACTAGACACTTAACATGCATGAGGTAAAAGTATACAAATAAATATCTTCAGTACAGCTGAGAGTAGACATATTATCCTTTCCCTTTCTGTCCTCTTATTCAACACACCGACACAGAGGAAAAAGTGAACAATGAGCCATGACCTAATGACATAAGTCTATAATTCATGGAAGCATTTGAAGGAAAACGCGTTTTGTTGCCATCATGCTCTGAACTCAATGTGCTTTCTTTATCACTTCCCCTCCTACTCTCGGGGTATTATAGCCAAGCTTTGTTTCCCGTCAAAGGCCAATCAAGCTGTTTATCACTGTGACCACTGGCCTTACTAAGAATCTATGAGTATCTGCCCTTCCTCTAGGGTCGGGACAGCCCACCATAACTGATAACATCATCAATTTAACAATTACATCTTAACAAATTGCCTAAAAAGAAAACTAGCATCAAAAGGTATTCATAAAAGAGCTCATATAGCAAGGCAACAACAACTACAACTGAAATAATAGGCAGGGTGAAAAAACCAACAGGAGGACAGAATTAAATGGTTTCTTGATTCTAAAACTTTAAATTCAGTGCAAGCTTAAAGAGGAATGAATCAACTGGGAAAACTCACCTATAGATTGAGGAAACATCCACACCTCTTACAAATAATCCAGAGCACTATCCTCAAAATGCATTGTAGTCAGGTATGTTTTGAGATGACATACACACACTTAAAATCACAACCAAGTGAGAAGAATTGCTGATCCTACAGGCTATACGACCAATCCAGAGGAAAGGGGAGTTAACAGGGATGAGATCAGGGAGCAGAGGACGACGAGAAAACAGATCTAGGAGTCTGTATGTGAGCTCCACTCCTGCGAAAGAAATCGAGAGAAAGAGCTGGGAAAACAGCAATAATCCTACAGATCAAAAGTTTTAAGTCAGACCACATGCTCTTGGATTAAAAGGGGCATTGGTTACAGTCTATGAAAAACAGCTGATACCAATTTGAGAAAGATTAAAACACCCTGGGTGAGAAATGTTATTTCTATATGGGAGGTAATAGGTTGAATTATTCATAGTTTCCTTATTATTAAATGAAGTTGCTAATGTCAGGTCTTCAGCAAAAACTAGGTGAAAGTTCAGATTAAGTTTATAACAATCATACATACTTAAATAGAAAATGATTTATAAATATAATTCCAACTATTTCTCACTGCCTCAATAAAACAACAATTTAATTTACCATCTAGCCCCACAAAAACAGTAAGACAGAGATCACCTTTGTGTTGCTATTGCCTGGCAAATGGCAGGGAACTGTGATATCATGATGTAACCAATCGGCAATTTCTTCAAAGATATTTTAAAAGCAAAGTTTGCTTATGAATTGTTGTTTTTTTAAAGAAGATGCAGTAGCTGGTCATCATCTGATTAAAGTTTTGTAACCATGAAATGAACCGCTCTGTGACTCAGGGCAAGAAGTGTGTTGCTGCGTCACTGTTGTAATGCCGGATGGATTAGTGGTGTCAATTGCATCTATGTTGTTGTCATCTCTTTTCTGATCTCATCATCATGAGAAGCATTTTGGGGAGAGAACTATTGAGAGATGTGTCCTGAGCTTGTGTGCTGAGCTTTCTGTCACACATTCTTAAAGCAGCTTCTAATATGTTTGAGTTGGGACTAACAGTGCGGACAAAAAACAGAAAAACTACCAACGATGGTCCTCTACACATTAGGTCAGCAAACAGCACCTGACAACCAGGAGCAAGTCGTTCAGTTAGTTAAGACTTTCTTGTCTGCATCCTTGAAGACTAGAAGCAGATTTGTAAGGGATTAAAAGCTTTAATTTGAAGGGCCAGGCTATGCAAATAATTTGAAGCGCTCAGTAAAATCTTTAATTCAATTTAAAAAAGGACTACCTGAGTTGCTGGACAGTGCTGATCAACAATATGATTGAATTAGCAAGGCAATTTCAACCAGTGATTTACTCAGTCCATCTGCAATGCCCGATTGATTCACCTAATTGCACAATTATATTCTCAAGTTTGGGTTACGGTGTTAAATTTCAGTTTCTATTTTCAATTCAAGTGTTTTATCTCACTTCCACTGATGGAGGCCGCTGGTTTGTGCTGCTCTTGTTGGAGGAAAAGCGCTAGACCGGCACTAGAAAGATATGTTTCTCTATCACGCTGCTGTGGGAATCCCAAACAAAACAGTGCTATGCTGCAGACAGGACTTTTACCATGTCAGGATATTTCTCACCTCCACTCTGAACAAACACTGGCAGGCCTTCCATCCCAGGGTGCTTTCTTAAAGCTCACATGTGAAAAGTCTTGAGGCATTGACTCAAAGGCCAGTGGAATATTGGCGCCTCACTGCATCTTTGTACAAGACCTCAAGTTCTCTCACAGATAGGAAGAAAGTTCAAAGGTGAAAAGGGCAAGTTCAATTTCTTGATTATAGGAATCCAGACATAAACAATATGTGAAACGGATCCAGTATCTAAACAAAGTCATCATGTCAACTAGTCCTAAAAAAAAAAAAAAGCATTAATACAGAGAGTATGTCTAAGTTCCAATTTGGCCAAATATTTAAGTAGACTTTATTCTGGCAGAAGACAGTGACACTTAAACTAAATAGTAGGACTACAGTGATTAGTTGATTATTTGTAAGACTAAATTGGAATTCAGTAGATGCTTTACAAAGAATGGGAAATCAGAGGACTCTTTACTCACCAGTTAGGCTTTTCTCTGAATGCTGCACATACACAGCTAGAGTTTGTCAATAATGCTGCCAATTAGAATTATCACCTTGCAAGTTTCGACCAATCAGTTTACAAGTTTCAGTTTATGTCATCCCCCGTCATTATATCCTATCAAACATTTGATTCTCTTGAGTAATGACAATAAATGCATTTTACGGCCTGATCTTTCATCTCTCAACCAAATTCTAATCAGTTAATCCAAGTTGACTTTTGTGCCAAATGTAAGGAAATTCTCCCAAAGCTTTCCTGAAATAATGCCTGTCTATCCTTGACTCCAAGTGGAAGTTTGTGCCGTATGTCACCTGTGAGATATTAAGTGTTTAGTGAAAGGTTGCACTGGGGTATTTGTGTGAAGATTCTTTATTTGGACTACAGTTAGTCATTCCTTCAACTCAAAGGTCACATTTTGATTATAGCCACACACACTAATCATTTAATTTAATTGTCTCTGTTAATGTATAAACAGAACAGACAATGAATACTGCACTGTGCAAATGAACCCGACAGGACCTCTGATAGGACATATTTATATTGATTGTTGTTGGTGATGACAAGAAAAATCCCTTTCTGGTACCTTGTTAACTGAAATGGGTTAGGTATCGCAGGTGTGTGGGTACAAATTGATGAATGGCAATCAGTTTGAATTACTGATATACACATGGACAGCATGCAGCCTCAGCCACTTCAAGACTGATTTTAAATCAAAGGAAAAAATGAAACTAAATTAACAACAGTTCAAGAATTGACAAAACAAGAATAACCCGTTCCCTTTGCTTTAACACACTTAAATCCTCCCAATGGTTGCCTGAAGTTACACAAAACTCAATGGAAATCATAGTTGCAAGTTAAGTTGTAAGATTTTTTTTTTTAATAAATAAGCCTGCCTCTAGAATGCCGATTAATCAATGATCTTGTTAAATATGTGAACCATCCCTGTTAGAATACAAAAAAGGCACTGGATGTTCATTGAAAGTAAGGCCAATGACAACCAAATGGAAAAGCAAAAAGTAAAACAGCAAAGCTGTAAGACCATCAAAATGCAATGTTTTGAAAGAGTCCACCAAGAGGCCTAACGCACCTCTGAATGAGCTACTGTAAAGGATCAGAGATATATTCTTACGACCATGGTGCTTCACCAGTCACAGCTCTATAGATGTTCAGAGAGAAAGCCACAGTTGAACATAACTCGCATGATATCGGCTACCATTGGAAGGCTTGTGGGATATTCAAAAATAAAATGTTGTGGGAAAGTCACAGTCCAGACCTCAAATCAATTTGATAATTTGTGGCAAGACATTAAATTACTGTTCACTCTTGGTTCCCATGCAATTTGACATTACAATTGTATGAGGCCAGAAGTGCAAATCTAAGACTTGTTTATAAGCCAAAAGGTGACTATTTCACAATGTGTAAACATAATGCACATTTTCTGTCTAACAAATTGTTTGTTCAAAATGTAAAAATGTTCTTCCCTCATAATCTTTTCTATCCTAAATTAACTTCCAGAAAACATCTCCCTCAAATTATTGGTATTCAGTTAATGTAGCAGCAGGAACAGGAAATATATAAAGCTTTATTCCAGCTATTTTCTGACTAGCTAGAACAACTTTCTCATACAGTTTTGATGCTGCAGTGGGATTTCTTCTTGTTGACCCTTTGCTGGCTAGCTTTGATTTCTGTATGCATTCAGGCAGCTAGTCTATATCATGCAGCACCTAATAAACAGTGACAGCTGTCCCCTCATGACAAAAGGATGTCTGCACACTGTAATGTTTCACAAATAAAGTGTGTTCCTCTCCTTTTACATTTTAGGGTAAAGTTTTAACCTACAAGATCACCCTGAGGCAAGCGTGAAAGAGACAAACATTTCATTTATTGAAGAAGGCATGATCATGCATTTACATAGTTTGCTTAGGTTTCATACAGTTTTATTTACATTTTGGAGTGACCAGTATCAATACTTTCGCTGTTGGCAATACTGTTTTTTCATTTAAGAATGTCCCGGGAAGGATCAGATTCATGCTTTTGAATTTAATTAACTCTCAAAAGAGATGATAATGTCAAGTGTTAATGTTCAAGGTAAAACAATTAAACAAGGACATAGTTCTTACAATAAGTGTTTGTTTATATGACAAATTACATGTTCTCATTACTTGAATTCCTGGCAACTGTTTAATAGGTACATAAGATGGCTTGCTTGTGTATTGTACATCATTGACTCTTATATCATTACAGACTTTATTTTATTATAACTGCTTCCAAAGAAGCCTGTCGTTAAAGACACTGACACATCACAGCTGTTTCCCTTCAGCAATTACTCACCACCACCCATATCCTTCTCCATCTAACATTCCCTATGTTAACATGTGTCCTCCCCTTTTTCCCTATCTATATGTAATTTCAGGGTCTATGTTATTAAAAATAAAATAAAAGAAGAATTTACTGCCTACACTAAATGAAAAGTAAGACCAGTAACTGTTAGCAACCACCCCCAACGGAAGAAAACTCAGTCTTAAGCCAATTAGGACCAAATAAATACTCTTACAATCACACCTGTGTCCTGTGTTACTGTCACTTATCTACATTGTAAGAACATACGTGTTTTATCTTTCACTATCTCATGTTTCTGACAGACCTGATAACATTCACTAGCGATTACTGGTGACAACCAACCATGGCTTCAAGACATCGTTGGCTAGCTGGCTAACGTTAGCCGATATCCATTGTTAGCCCGCTACGTAATACTACCTCTAATAACAACCTTCACGTGTCTTTCACTGCTCATCCTTCTTTCGGTTTCAGAAACTATTTGAGAGAAATAGAGTTTCAATATTAAGCCAGGCCAGTTTTCCCGGAAACGCATCAGCTAATGTTAGCTTTTCCCCCCAACTGCAGCTAGCCACATGGGTGATGATGACAGCGATGAAGGCAAACATAATCTAACACACTCACCCAGAACCACCGGGACACTCTGAAGATCACCTCCGAGTCATGGTGAGAAGAGAGGAGCTGTTATCTGAAGGAAAACGTCGTTGAAGAGAAAGAGGGACTAGGTTTAGTAGGAAAATGTTGTCGCAACAGCCAGGTTGCAGAGTGGAGGGCTGCTGTGTTGACAGCTCAGTGGGACAGACTGAGTACTACAGCCGTGGTGAACTGGCCTGAACTGGCTGTCTGACGGCAGGAAGTGACTTCACTGGGGGGAGCAAGGTGGAGAGCGAGACCACCCCCATGTAGTAAATGTCATTTCAGCAATAAAAGGAAAGCGTATATTGTCTTGAGAAAATATAAATTCACGAAACATACGGTTGTGTTGATTGTGACATATGTAGCATGTGTTAAAGTCTGTGTTAGTAGCTAGCACATGGTGTTATGTTATGTCATGGTTTACAGAGTGGAGCCTTGTCTTGATAGACCACACAACAGCATTTTTTTCTAAATAAACAAGTTATTCTGGATAATTTAAAGGATATCTAACCCAAATACACGTTTATAATGCTTTTTGATCATGCTAAAGTGATTTTGAGGTGTGGCGAAAAAATCAGTTTGAAAAAAGTTGTAGTTTTGTACAATAAGTAATGCTACTTTATTATTGTAGGCCTATACATTTATAAAACTATAACATTATTGTAAAACAATACATATTTGAAGAATACTATGCTTAAGAGACAAAAAGTGAATGTTAAATGTAATGTATTTTAAATTAAACACGTTGCAACCGTCCCTGATATATTGCAACTTTCCACGGATTGGGGTCAGTTGCAACATCTGACTTTCTTCCATTCAAATGTATATTGTGAACAATTTGTCTTGTATATTCATCTTGGCCACAGAATAGCACATGATGGTAAGGTAACAATAAAGGTTTTATGTATGATCAGTGACACAAATAATTCATTATAAGGATATACCATTTTTTTTTTTTTGTTCAATTGTATTTAAAATTCAAGAAAGGCTAGATTACCAAATGGACAAATCAGGCATTAGCTCAAAGGGCCCATATTTGAGTTTATGTATTGAAGGTCATATAGGCCAATGCTTATTTTTGCAATTTTGGGATTTTAGCCACACAGTTGAATACTTTTTACCTTTTATTTTTAAAAGGATATTGGAACATTAATATGTCAAAAATAGTCCCCCTTCTTATGCAACTCATAATCTTTATTCAAGTATTCAGTAAAAACTAGGTATTTGTTATTCAGCTTTCTGTTTATGATTTATTGCTCGCACATTCTCTGCAACCATTCAGTATGTTGTCTCACTCCTGAACATTTCCCCTCTCCCCCTGTGTGAGGTGAACAAAATGTCCTGCGGGCTCAAATCAGCCAATGTCTTCCATGTCCTCTTCAGTGAGGCGATCTCTGACGCATGGGCCAAGAAAAACAGAAAAGGCTGTTTCCCACTGCAGCTTCAGATGTGCTAATCCGTCCTCTTCATCACTTCTGCAAACAGAATTCCACCTTTTTACATGGGACACGCGGTTTGTTTTCCTTTGGCCTAGTCTCAGAAGGGACAGAGATGAGGCCCAGAGATGTAGCAATGCTAGCTCAGCACTCATCATGACATCAGACGGCTTAGTACAAACATGTCATTTTTAGTTTATTGAATCTGTTGGATATACAGATAAGCCATTTTTTAAGGTCCATTTACATGCAGGCTAATAGCTTAAGTTTTTAACCAAAAAGATTAAACTTTTACAAAAATATTGACCCCAGTGAAGTTGAGGAAACATATTTTGCAATCTGAGTTCCAGTTAAACAGCCACTATGTGAGTAATCATTGATCTTATTCTGCATTTCAGATGCCAGGCTTCTTAACTAAGCAGCACACATGGGATACATTCCTATCCATTAGCAACACTACATTAGCCTATGCAGCAGGAAGCACCCAAGGCATTTCTATGTGGGTTGATTAATCACATCCCAAATTCATTCAAACAAAAATAACTGAATGAATTTAGGAGGTCAAATGTCCACTGGCAGTAAGGGTGTGGTTAACATCACATTATTAATAGGGATTTCCTGACATGATTGTATATAAAACCACATGTGAAATAATTATACAAATGTTTAAAGCATGTATTTTTTACAATGTTACATGAGACCTGAGGCCTGTACTACGAAGCTGGATTTTCGCTTAGCCGGCTAACTTCAGGGAAATCTCGGGCTTTCCTGTCCTACGACGCTGGTTCTCTTTTTAGCAGGCTAGATGTCCATGGTAACTTATGCTGAGCGGCAAACCTGCTCCGGAGCAGGTTAGGTTGCAGGCTAAGGCCCCGGCTCCACGAGGACGAAAACTGGTTGAATCCGCATATTTCTCATGCGTATAGCCCTCTAAGCTCCACGACGCCGTAAGGGAAACGTAGAAACAGACCCCGCAAACGACAACGGGTCCAAAGGTGGATAGATCTGGGAACAGAGCGCTCTGGGGGGTCCAACGGGGCCGTGGAGTCGCCTATACGGTCATTCGTTTTTATAGCCCCGCCTCTCCCCGGCAGGGTTGCTATCGTGTTCCAGTCGCTACTGACCATGCTACAGTTCTTTGTGCAACATCTACAGGAGCTCCTCCTTGAATTCAGATTATTTATCTTTATCTCGATATGGACATAAACGCGAGTGAAGTCTAATCTGACAGGACGGAGACACGCAGCTCCTGCCGCTGTGATGCAGCGGGAGCAAAACACACAGTTCAAGTCAGATCATCACCCTTAGCTATTTTAATTACCTCTCAAACTACCTAAACTAGTTATAAATATGTTCATTTTTACTGTCGGGTCACTCATTACAGGATCAGCTGCTGCATGAGACAGACACTGACGCTGTGAGAAGAGAGGAAAAAGAGACAGGCTCTGTGTATTTGATGATTATATATCATTATATAGTCGTTATTCATTTGTTTTAAAGCTCAATAAATAACAATGAAGACCTTTGACCGGCACTTTTATAATTTTGTCCGGAAGATTTAAACTTTAACACACGCTGACCGGCGAAAAACTCTGCCCGGTTCTGTCGGCCCCCACCGCTGAGAATACACAGAAGTGCAGCCATGACAACCATTCTTCTTCGCTGATTTTGTGGAGGAAGTTGCTGCTTTTGTGGAGGAAGTTACAGCGCCACGTACAGGTTCGGCATATGTACTGTAGCTTTTCCAGCGTTTGGATGTAAACGGAGCCGTCTCGTGGAGCTTGACACAATCCGGTGTATATTGCGTGGGGACGGAAGGTTTTTTGCGGTTGCATTTGCGTTTCTCCGATGCGTTTTGCCGTATTTGTCCTCGTGGAGCCGGGGCCTAAGAGATCAACTCAGTGAAAGCACCGCCTGCTGACCAATCAGAGCTCCGTGTGCGGAGTTTAAAGCGATCAATTCATATTACAGGATAGAGGAAATACAGAAAAACTGCCGTTGCAGGAAAGACGGCCGGCCAAAATCAACTGACTGTGTGAACGTGAAAATTAATAGAATATCCCCTCCCATCTTCAGAGCAATCTGACTATTATAACATTAGCGTTAAGAAAGCTTACTTAAATATCTGCCACGACATAAGTAACCGGATCAGAGTAACATTAAGTACAGTCCGCAGCACTGTGAGTGCAGACGTCGATGTGTCCCATTATCATTCATATCATATCACATCATAATGTATCATATATTTCCTTATTTGAGTCAGCTTCTTGAGCCGTATCTGGCCGTGCAACACTCACAGTGTCACATACTGTATGCAGAAGTATTATTTTAAGCAACACATTAAGTTGACGAAACACTCGAGTCAAATGTAATTAAAGTCAGATCGTGTCTTGGACGGGGCAGTGATTTCATAAACCTGTTAATGTACGCATTCAAACGCTTTTTCTTTTACCAGCTGTATTCACCTTGCAGGTGCAGCTATGTGGCTTTTATCCTGGATAAAGTGTTTAAGTCATGGATGTTTAAAGTTTAACTTCTTCATATTTGACTAATATTAAAGTTCACTTTTCATTCAGGAAGTATGACGCTGCGCTGTCAGTACGCTTGTCCATGTTTGTGATTGGTCGAATGCTCCAAATACCACCCCTTTCATGTGAACGCGCACCTAACTAGATAGGACACGGCTGGCTTGAGCGATCCACCTGATATCCAGCGTCGTAGTAGTTTAGCCAGAGCGCGTATGTTTTGGATTGGGCCAACCGGCTAACTCAAACATATCCAGGTTAGGAAAATCCGGCTTCGTAGTACAGGCCTCTGATCTGCAGAAACTAATGCACAAAAAAAGACCTCCTGCTTAAAATGTAACCTAATAATTTACAACAACAGATAGAACAATATGAGATTTTATCATCTTGACATGGATAACCCATATATAACCATAAGTAAACAATATTATTGAATTATCTCCCAGCCCGACCTATCATGTCACGTTTACACACCGAACAAGGTGTTGAATGACATTCATTTCTACAGCCGATGTCAGCAATTGCTGTTCAACTTCATTAGTTGCTTCCCCGTAATTTGTCTCAGACAGGCATATCACTTAGGGAAATGTAACAGGGAGTAGTAAAATGTGCCCCATAACTTTGCTCTAATCTGTGTATTGTTCCGTTATCAGTTTTAGGAAGTCCCTTCAGTTAAAAATGGCCTGGTCTGTTGCTCCAGCATCGTGGTCTAAAGACTGGGAGCAGGCAGATGGAGCTCTGAGGGATGATGGAGAGGACGGGGGAGTCATGGCCGTCTAGTCTGGGGCCTATCTGCTCTGAGGGGCCTTTTCCCAGTCCAGCCCTGATAACCTGGGGCGACTAGCAAAATACAGGATATGACCCCATAACCCTGCAAGGCAGCAGGGTCGCAATATTGTTTTATTAGGGAAAGACTTCTCTCAGTTCTCAGAAGGCTTTGTGAATGTAGTCAAGACAGAGCTTTGACTTAGTTAAGCCACAAGCTTTAGTTAAAGGTACATTTATATTTAAGAGACAAACTGCACAATACAAAATCACTAACCACATGATCTGCAATTGTAATCGTCATTTGATCAACACTGGCCAGTCGAGTTGACGAGAAATATACTGTTTATTGCATCACACACATCAGCTTAAGTAAAACAAGACAGATAACAGGTTAGTGTTTTATCTTTTTATTTCCCCTCAAATAAATGCACCAGATGTGTATCA